TCGATAAAACAAAAAACCTGTTAAACCAGCAAAACCGTTATATGTTTATTAAGTAAAAGAAAAAAAAGAAAAACAAAACGTCTTTAGATAAATATACATAAATTTTATTGAACATTTATCCTTAATTATAGTATTTCTTACAGGATTTGCATTTTTTTCGGTACTTTATTTTTAATTTTAACAAAAATCATTTCTCTAACGTTCAGCAATATTTTATATATACTTGTTTCTTTCTTCCCGTTGTGTACTTGACAACGGAAGCTATACACATGATGTCGTCCGATTGTAAATAATTTCGGTTCGTCCGATGTAAGATTTTGATAAATAGGCGTTTCCTTTTATAGAAAAGGTTTTGCTGAAAATAATCAAAAAGAAATCAACTAAAAGAAAAAGTAAGTGATTGCAGTTTGACCACGTCTAATGAAATTGGACGAATTGCAATAAAAAAAAATTACGATTACATGAAATTTTCACGAAGGCAACATTCTCATTTCAAGTAACAGAGGTTTCAGAGAAACGGATTACTCTATCGTGATTGCAATTTGGTTATCTCCAATCGTTTTGGACAAGCTGCAGTAACACCAGAAACACCCTGTATATTGATTGAATAATTTCTTCCTCTTAAAGACTTCCCATAGTTTTCCGAACGACTGTACAAAGGCCCGCGTAGTTTCGCCTTAGTAAGGTCTGTATAGACCCTAGATTTACATAGGAAAGAACATTATTACAAATTAGTTTTTAAGGAGATATATTACGTGCATTATAAATACACACGCTCTGTTTAATATACGTAATATATCGCGCATTCGAAGATACCGCGAAAAAAAAAATATTAAAGATACAGATCATGTTTTGTCGTACCACCATTATCACCCATTTGACATTGTAAAATAAGCTCCTGCATAAACGTAACACGCATACTGGGAAATAGACGCGCAACACGCAATTGGCATCGGGGAAACAAAATACTTTGGTGGAAAAGGATTAATTAGTATCTAGACCGTAACGATGTTTTATCAGGTGCGAAAAATTGTGCCTTTTTAGTGCAGTAAGGACGAAGTAAGCCTAAGGAAAAAAAAGGTTAAGAGATACTTATTAAATTGGAGACCAGCGGGTCTAATATCGAGAGGATAAATTTGATACATCGAGCGTTTTGTATATATTTTTTTTCAAACTTCATCGTAGTCTTTGCAAGCTTAATCATTAGTAATCGTTATAACGCTAAAGAATATTATCAGCATCGTTACTTTCTGAACGTTTGCTTTTCAACATCGAACGTACATATTTCGTCGATAAATACGTATTTACTTTACGTATTAATCACTCTTACTTTTTTGTTTTTGTTTCTCTCTATCTGCCTTTAAATGATTCTGTTAGAAAATGAATTAGAACAAATACAAAAAAAAAAGAGGAAAACCAGAGAGAGAAAAAATAAAAAAATCGAACGTGTGATTAAATCTTCTCGAATGGCCTTCGCATACTGGTTCGATTTCTTAATAGTCGTAGGCGCTCGCTTCCTAAAACAACTGATTTTAAAATTTTTGACAAAACGAAGACGCAAAGAAAGAAAGAACAAAAATGTAGTATCATCTACTTTGAAAATAAAAATCGATGACGCCGAGACTGGAGGCGATGCACCGTGGCTGATAACAATTTATTGTATGTAATTGATTATCTTTAATTAATACTACGAATGATAAAGTGTTCCTGTACCTAATTAATTAATAATGATTATTATTGTATATCAAAAGTATTGAGAATAATAATGCCATTTTCACTGGATTATATGAGATCTGTCGCATTCTATTATTTTAGAGATTTCCTTATCTGTATCAGGGAATTTTGTATCAAGTCGTGAAATTTAATTACAGATAGTAAGTAAGTTATTAACAGGGGTTTCATGTATCTGTTTAAAGAAGAGAACAAAAGCATAGATTATATGAAAAGTAATAATTGACCAGATCTTATCCCCTTATTTTGCCTTTTTTGTTATATTATTTTTAGCAATATGTAATCCATTTGTGGTCACAGGTTGGCTGATATTTTTAATCCATTTCTCTACATTTTTTATATATTTTTAATACAATTATTCAAACGTGTAAATATTTCTCTATTTTCACAAAGAAAATAAGAAAGATGGATTAAATTAATGGATTAGTTTAGCATTTCTTTAGTATATATTTATGAACTTTTACCTTATTTATATTTAGAATTCAATTTTTTAATCAATAAGTATTATTTATTTTTAAGAGAAAAATCACGGTACACGATGTTAAAAAACCTTCAATCCAAAATAAAACCACCTATTTTTTAAGCAGGATTGAGTGCTTTACTGATTTTAATAATATCGAGCGTCAGTCAACTGAGAGTATGCTTTACATAAAAAGGCAGAAAGTGTCTTTGACCGACAACGGAATCAAAATCTTTATTTTTAAATTTAAGTTCAGATGTCTATTTTTAAATTCAATGAAACTATTTTTTGACCACTGACGGATAAATCGTGGTGTATGTTGAGCAACAGTCTACTTCCGAGTTTTAGTATTCGCCGCTCAGCTATTATAACGTGTTACACGTCGGTTGTATCACGATGGAAATTGTATCATGAATACAAACAGCGTTATATGGAAGTATGTACTTATATCTTTATAATATTATTTAAACTTTCTTCCATTATTTTATTTATTTTATATATTCAATTTTCAACACTTCTTTCACATTTTTTGAACTGTTACAATCAAAAATGTCAACAATTTCTCCATCGTCTTTCTTATGTATATTTTTTGCGTTTAAATAATATACAATTGAAATTTAATAATGAGAATCTATTATTTACAATTTTTTATATTTTTTTTCACATAAAAATGTCCGAAGAAAAGTGTTTTTTCTTTCTTTACTTATTCATACTTTTTACTCGAGCGAATGCAAGTATTATCTCTTTATCTATTGGCTGAGAAACTTTGCATACAGTATTAACTGCCTTTTAATCCCTATTCTGATATTCTATGGAAATAGTAACATAACTTGTAGCAGCTTCAAGCTCTTTCCATCTTTCTTCAAATTTTATGTAAATATGTAAATAGGATTGTGGATTTGTAGGACACGTAACCTTGCCGGTTTCAGACCTCTATGTCAGGCGCTTACTTAAGTGGATTTATCAGTGTTATAAAATAATGATAATAACGCATATTTGCGTCTTCGAAAGTGACAGTTATTATGTAACGCTTTTATCACGTGTGTATATTCGTGTTTTCTTAATTAAGCAAATCATTTTACGAACATCTAGCAAATAATAGAAAAAAAATACATTTCCTGAGACACTTAATAAATTATTCTGCAACATCCGTCGTACATTTTCTACGCTTATTAAAAATTTTGATCTTCGACTTGAGAAATAAAATAACCTTTAAATAAATCCTTTTTTAAAAATGATTATTCATTGAAAAGCAATCCGTTTCTTAATGATTTTTCACACGAGAAATAAATTATATTTTTATAATATTCCATGGACAAACGTAATTATCGGTGGGTAGCTACATCGTAAATCTAAAGAATGACGAGAAACGAGGCGCGTCATGTAGAATGATTTTTCGAAACTGCGTAAGCCTTGAATCAACACGAAACATACCTTTGTCTATACCACATTCATCTATCGTAATTTTTATGCAAAGAAATTCTACATACTTGGAGATCATTGAAGAAGATAGTTGAAAATTGACGAAGAAGACGTGTTGCGTTATCGACCTCAAATTTTCAAAATATTTTTTCTAGATAACATTCCTCGCGTGGAGTAACCGATTGTTTAGAAACTGCTAATAACGCCATAAAGAATAGAACAGAAAAATAATCCTCTTTCATAAAAGTCTTCGCACGTGATTACTCACGATACACGGTCTACCCTCGAACCTACGGCCGGAATAATAAAAGATAAAACGCGTATTGTCTGGTGCTTTCTGGAGGATTATTCTCGAAGAAAGATAAAGCAATATGACACATTTCGAAATTAATATCGATCAAAAGATTTTGTTACTTTAGATAATGGAAGAAAGGTAAAAGAAGAAATAACTTACTGAAAGATTTTTAAGACGAATTATGAATGTTATTCGAACAGAGGAAAATCTGGATTATTCGAGCTAATTCTGATATTTACGTAAATTCATATTTTTACGAATATGATTGAGAAGACGGAACCTAAATAGAAAATTATTTTATTAAATATCAAACATTACAGAGAATATTACACGTTGAATATTTTATATATTTCTCCATGTTACACATATTCTGTAAATTTTTGTATCTTCGAATTTATCGTAAATACATAAAAATCCACTGTTCGGTATAATTTATAAATATTAATGCTAAGCAGAAGTTAGAACTTTTGAATGAAAAACCAATACTTTTCCTCTTCGATCTTTGTTCTTGTTTGCCGATTATACTTACAAGGGATCATTCCCATATTTTTCATCGATCTACGTACCGATAACTCCACGTTTGTTATTATATACGTCCATAATTTATAATCTAGTCAGTCTATGTTTATTCTCTCTACCGCGTACCCCAACTAAAAGTCACCTGTCGTCGAATCGGCGTAGACACAAACGGAATCGTTTCTATACAAGCGACATTTCTCTCGTGGAAACTTCACGTCGAACATAACCCCGGATTCGTAAACAAGAACCGAACGCTATCGGCTATTATAGTTGCGGATATTCTTCCAAATCCATCCTTTTACGAACACATTCGTATTCGTTAAATACGCGTATCGATGACGCTCTACCGGCGATATTTCATCTGTTTCCTATGTATTATGCGTGTTCTTTGCATCTTTGAATATTCGTAGAAACGCGTATGAATCGACAGTCTAGCGGCAAGGTGTTCTCAAAATTTCCTAAAAAATTCGGAGAAATTCAGTGTGAAACAGAGGCCCCGAGAGGTTTTATGCCCCCATTGGATTGTTCTCCAGTGACGTTATTGCTTTAAAGACGGGCTACGGAGAAGGGGAGAAGAAGTTACGGCAGAAACTGTCGAAGAAGCACGACGCATTTAAATGGCCGGTCGCGTATTGCCGTGGATTCAGTTTTGTCGCCGGCCTCTCGAAATCGGATTCCGTTTCGCGTATATTTTTTCGCTCGTGCACCGCGCTCACGGTATTCGACCTTCGTCCGACTGTCCCCAACAAGTGTCACGGCACCGCGCCGAGAAGATTTTCAGCGAGGAAAACGGGAATCGAGCTGAAAGTGAGCGCGCGTTCCGCCAAACGACTCGCGTACATATGATTATCCGTTTGCACAGCCGTCTTTGCCTCTGGTTCTCGCGTTTTCCGCTTGTTTGCGAGTAGAATGTGTCGTGGATGTAAGAACAAGTAACTCTCTCGATCCTTAGATCGCCTAACTGGTCGGCCACGAGGCCAAGAAATCCACCTTCGATTCCCCCGAACCACGTTCCGAGACGTAGTGACAACCGAACAACTGATCTCGTCGCCTACAACCCGTAGCTCTTTAAGTGAGTTATATCGAGCTTCACGTTGTTTTTTGTATCTTTCAAATCGGTGGATGATTCGATTCGGTTTCAGTGGGAAACGACAAAACAGAATCGTATCGTCGCTATGAAGTAACCTCTTGTCGTAAATGACAGATTTTGCGAAATGTTGATCGTTTGTATCGGCATCTATTGTGACGCGTTTCATTTGTTTAGATACACTTGTCGGTGGGTGTTCTTTCTATTTTTTTTTCTTTTTTTTTTCTTTGCATGGAACGAATAAATCACGTTGGCTTATTAAATATCGAAATATCACGCTTTCTTATGTACAGACATATAAATCTACTTGGGATAATAAAAAGAACTGGTTCTTATCTGTTGCGGTTACTATAGCGTACCGGGCACGTGTTTCAATGACAGGAAATTTCAATTGCTTTCCGCGCAGCTTCGATGTTAAATAATTCGGAGATGTAAGAACACTTTTCGTTACGAAAGACGATCTGGTGTTATGCTACAGGTCTTCTTTTCTTGAAAGTTGATAAATCGAAAGTATTTGTTAAATCGCTGACGAGATATCGTTGGTAAACTAGCGCACAAGCTAAAGTCACGACAAGAAAATGAAACAAACATTTTTGTATTCGATTTGTTTGTAGTAAAACGGAGCGTGACTTTGTTCGAACGTTTCGCCAAGAAATAACAAACAATTTCTATAATTAAAAATAAACAAGAGTAGAGGTAAGTTAAAGTAGGCAGATGTAGCAACATCGATATTAAATCAAATACAATTAAGGGACAACAGTAAACAAAGGAGAAAAAGATCAGACACAGTTAGATTAGATAGAACGAAATTCTTCAATTCCAGTGTTCTGTAATGTTGTAATGCCGAAGTATGTTGGTTACGTGTAAAAAGGTAAATATTGAACTTTACCGTATCGCGATCGGTTCAATTAATTATCTTTATTAGATCTTGCTTTCATAGCAACGAGTTTAATTCGTGTCGGTCCTCTTCGTGCCATGTAAATAATGTCGAAACCTCACCAACATATACGTTTACCCGCTAAACGCGAGGAACTCTTGAAAAATTTCATCGAAATTACTTCGTGAAACATTTAACGATAAATTAGATTTACATCGAACATTTGTACATTCGCCGGAATCTAATTAAAATCGCCAAAACTCGAGAAATATTATTATTTAAATAGACAAAATATTAGCTGATCTTACTTCTATACTTCTATATCTAATTTAATTCCACAAATCAAATTGGTTTTCAAGCAAAAAATAAAAGACAATTACATACTCAAAAGTTCAGTCTGATTATAGATCTATTGGGTTGGCAACTAAGTGATTGCGGATTTCGTCATTACCATCTAGTGACAAATTCGCGCGTAACTATAAATTGGTTGTTAAAATTAATTTCAATATTCCAAATATATACTTTCCTATCCGCTTCATATTTAAATTTCATTTAATCGGTCGCTCGCATCTATGTATTGGGTTGGCAACTAAGTGATTGCGGATTTTGTCATTAGGTGGTAATAAAAATGTTGCCAACCCAATAAATAGATGCGAGCGTACATATTTGGAATATTGAAATTAATTTTAACAACCAATCTATTAGTTACGTACGAATCTTATATTTTATAACGTTTTTGCCTTTCTTTCTTTTTTAGCTTTTTTTTTTTTTTTTTTTTTTTTAGCCTGAGCTTTATCGAACTATACAGTTGTAAATAAATCTTGAAAATTTTCAATATAAACGTTGCTATTAAAAATTGTACATAAATCAAATTCAAAATTCAACGGCACGGCCATTGATTGAGATTCGTTGTCGAAAGTCACGAGTGTATCTGACCTCACGATCTATCGCGTCTCCGCAATAGTCTCGCTATCGCGATGCAGTTTCTTATTGCTCTTAAATCGTAAATTATCAGCTTGTATTAACAATAACCGTCACGTGAACGCAATTAATACCATTTAATACTATATCGATGGATACCGATCGAACCGTTGATCTTATCCTACCGTTACAGCTAACGCATAATTGAATCTAAATACAATGTTTTCCTTTCGTTTCTTAACATTCGAATTATCGGTTCTTCTTTATTTCAACAGATATACAGGGTGGTTGGTAACTGGCGGTACAAGCGGAAAGGGGGTGACTCTACGCGAAAAAAGAAGTAGAAAATATAGAATAAAATTTTTTTTTTAATTTTTCCATCGAGACAACGATCTACAGTGAGATCCGTTATAACGTACCGCACGCGTACCGAGCGAAAATTCAAAGTCGATTTTCTCGAAAACAAAGCCTCGAACGAAAAATGTTTATTCTATATTTTCGACTTCTTTTTTCGCGTAGAATCACCCTCTTTCCGCTTGTACCATCAGTTACCAACCACCCTGTATATCACATTCTTTTCTCGATAAATATTTACATATTAATCAGTCTTCTACCAAGAACGACAAGTTAATAGAATGTTAATAAAGTTAATGAAATCTTGTTCGCTAAAATAAATCATAGCAGAAATAAAAAATATTACAAAGATTCGAAAAAAAAAAAAAAGAAAAGACAAGATAGCAATCTTAATATCATTTTTATCGTTGTCATTATTTCATACGATCGTCTCGCGTTTATCGTACAATTTATCATTGTTATCCGTCTATGAAAAACTGAAAGATGCTAGACACGCAAGAGTACATAAAATATTCCAGGTATGACGATCGTCGTAATACCTGGCGAAACGGCTTTTCGTTTAAATTCTATCTGCCAGTTCTCTTCATAAACATACGAATTTCCATAAATTTGCAGGAACATCAAAATTTAACGTCGTTGAAATTTTCACCGGCTAATGAATTAACGAAGCGAGCGGCATGTACGTACGTATGTACGAAGGTATTAGAAACGAAAGAAAAAAAAAAAAAAAGGAAAAAGAATGAAAGAGAGAAAAAGAAAAAGAGGGTTCCTTTGCGAGTCGAGGAGCGGAAATCGCATAAACACAGGAAGCAAACATTTCTCAAATTTCTTAGCCGCGGTATTTAGAGCTGGTTTTAATCGGTTGCAACCAAGCGTTTAAGTAAGATGTCGAGGTGCACGTGCCGCTGAGTAGCGCACATTAACTCCTATTGTACTGGCTGTTGGATGTCTGTATCAAAGGACGCGTTGAAATAGCTGCTCATCTGCAGAAGAAAGAAGAGCCGCCGGTTACACGTTCTTATTATTGTTGTACGCACGTCGATCATCGATAATGATATTTTCCTTGACAGGGTCGTTTACAATTAAGACGTTCGGTTTCTTTTCACGATGGCAAACGGTGGGTTCGCATAGCGACGCTTTGTTCCATCGCGAGGATAATTTACATGCGGAAATTAGTCCGTGAGTTCTGCCATGGCAAAGCGCGGCAAACAGCGGGAAATGGAGATGCGAAGGAAATTTTTCTAGACTAGTTATTGCAGGTAGATTTCACGACATTATAGATGTTTGTTTTAGCTTTAGATCTAGATCATTGTTGTAGACTTTACGGTTTTTCCTTAGAGAACCAAGCGGATCTACGTGGCGATTGGGACTATGATGATTTTATTACCGTGTGTTTGTTACACGGTTTCGTGTGTTCGCCTGCGAGCAAATAAAAGAGGAAAACACGTAGAATCTAGAGTAGAAAATAATACGATGGAGTAACGATATCGTAAAAGGAAACTCGACACTTAACGTTTCGATCGTTCGATTATATTATTTAAAAATATTTATATGAAGCGCAAGTCGATGAATAAGAATTTTCTCTATGCGAATTTCATCGCTGTTTTCATCTTACGCGCTCTCGTACACGATGAACCTGCCTCCTTTGACTTACCGATTTATTTAACGAATTTCTATAAGTATTTACATTTCGCATGCACACCTTGACAAAGTTATACCTATGTAAGACAAGGACGAGAGAATTCGAATTGTATAATTTGTAACGAAGTTACCTTATTCGCGTTTTCCGATAATAATGAGTAACACGTTCGGTCTCGTTGATCGTAACGAGTTAATTGCCGAGAAAGCAAATTTATCTGCGTACCTCGAGATCGAATACCACTTTGATAGATTCGTATCGCATAGTTTTTTCATAAATCAACGTCGAAGTGTATGCGCACGGATATCATGCACTTTCAAGGCAACGGTAACAGTTCGCAGCTGAGGCTGGCCGGTTAACATACGTCGTATAATTTGCGGGCGGAGATTGAAACGAGACGGTGAGCCTCGATCCGGTGGTATTCGTGATTTGCATGAAAAACAATGTTCGAGTTGAATTAATTTGCAGGCACGCGGTTCATACCATATATCAAGCCGCGTTGGGAGCCAGCGAATCGGGGGGAGAAACCGCGTGACAGAGTTGATTCAGAAGCACATGATAGCAGAGAATGACCGGTTGCATGAGCGAATCATGTGATACGCGTTCTCTCGTAGTAATGCCTTTTTTTCCTATCACCTCGTATACTTCTTCATTGCCCGCCAGGCCGCACTTTACCTGGCTGATTGGAAATAAAAGCGCGATATCTCGTCCAACCAAAGATTCCAAGATGCAACCGGGGCGAATTAACGGGCCAGCGTTGCAAATTGCAAAACTCGTTGGCAATTTAACGACTTTTATCGCCGGCTAAACTTACGTCGATTTTTCTTCTTCAGCTATTCCGGCACGTTTTAATCGACTGTTTTTAAAAAGAGCCATTCGTGGAATCGACTCGTTTGACTCTTGATTGGTTGAATCCTTGGCCACAGAATGGAAATTAGATGCATACCAGATACTTTGATATTTCAATTTGATTTAAACGCAGATACGCAGGATAGAGGATATTCCGATATTTCGATCGGATCTTCTCGGAGCTAAGGTGTAACATTTGTTTAAAAAACGAGTTAAAATCAACAGGGTGTACGAAGGCTTTCGCGAATGATGATTGTACGTATTTTATAAGAGATTATTTAAATCATAATGATTAGGACAATTTATAGGCTGAGCGAAGACTTTTACAGATGATTTGTCTATATTTTGTAAGAAATCATTTAAATTCCGAAAAATCCATCACGTTGTGAATCTATTACGTTTTTATGAGAACTTTCCAATTGCTTATTTCGATCATTCTGCTAGTTTCAGCGTCGATATTTCGTCTGATTTTTACCAGCACGTTTAAGGTAGTAGACCATGGATTTGTTTACGAGTTACGTACTTTGAATAGTTTTTTTCTATTTATCTACGCTATATACATCCTGTGCGTTCCTGCATCTTTAATTTGCATAAGTGCATAAAAATCTGCAATTCAGTCATCGTCATGTGATGCTCGTTGAACAACATATTCTGGAAAGGGAAGCCAGGTGGCACGTTCCGTGGTTGTGGTAAACGCTCGATATTAGATACCAGTAATATTAGATGCAAGGATAAGAGATCAATGGGCATTTACGCAGTTTAACCGTTAGATTTGATAATACGGAGCGGAAAGAGGTAAAACATTTTCCTCGGAAGATCTTTGCCTGATCGAATTTACCACATTGCGTGGTAATCGCGCGGTGATCGAGACAAATATTTAAATATCCTTTGTCAAAGAAGTTATGAATGAAATGGTATTATTGGCGTAAGTATCTTCTGAATTATTTTAAATTCGATGATCAATATTTGTTGGTGATTTACGCCAGTTAATAGTGCGAAGATTTATATTGACTTTGCCATTTCTAAAATAAATAAAAAAACAAATAAAACATGTCTTATGAGTATTTATAGGTTGTACATATACATATTAGCAAGTTCGAGGTGTATATCGATTAACATTTTTGTATTTAATTAACAGCCTACGGATACGCTTATGCAAATTCATATTTTCATGGTTACATTCAACTAAAAACATGGAATAAAGATTTCATCTACATATTCAAATTCTTTTTCACATATGTCTTTATACGTTATATATATAGAATGTATGTATGTATTCTCGTATCTTTATATTACATATTTACTAATGTATGAGTATCCATAGTCCAAATAATTCGAAATAGTTCGAAGCGATAAAGTACTTTTCGTATTTTTTTACACTGGAACATTTGACAAATATCGTGTTATGTAAGCGAGAAAATACAACGAGATTCGCATCTACAATTTTGTACGATATTTATTTCTCACTTTTATACGATATTTAAGAGATTATTATTCATTCTCGATTTCAAATAGAAATTGCTTGCAAAAAAAAGATGTAGAATGTCACGAAATATTACTGGCTAAAACATTCGATAAAACACGAGATACAAGATTACAATGGCGATCGCAGTTGTATTATATTCGTTTATTTATATTTATTCTGATACTCGTGGAATACCATAATATTATGCACATTATATAATTGTTAAGCAAATGTTTATCATAGCCAAATATTCGTCACGATCAAACAAGAAGCTGAAAGTAAACAAACACTATGGCATGCTGTCATAAATCATTATCCACCTGACGAACGTAATTTATCGTTAACTAAACAACGCATTCATACGGCTCGACTTTCGTAATGTTTCTAATTAAAGAAATACGCCCGGAGAAGGTTTTCAGACGCAAGTCGCGTGTTTCTTTTCGTCAGACACGAGTCTTGCATCGTTGGTCATCTTAAATCGATCTGACGTTTTCTTGTTCGTTGTGGTACAATGTAATTTGTTTTCGTCGTCAATAATATCTGTTAATACGCTGCTTCATCTTACTTGTTTACATTCTATCGTTCTTTCGAGTTATGTGGTCCGATTCGTTACGTTGAACTAAATAAAGGCCAATAAAAACTCGTGACAAGTGAGAATCGCGCAGAAAAGCACGTATACTAACTTTAGTTCGAATCACTTAGTCTCAGTCTAATTGAACGAATATCACCAATGACTGTTAAATATACTGTCCCAATTTAACATCATGCTAGCGTACATGATATAGCACTAAATATACTTAGTCCAGCCGGGCAAAAGTTAACCAAAGACATGAAACTTTTATGGTCCTATAACGAGACGAGCATGACATTCCATTCTATTCTATAATTAAGATTTTTATGTATTTATAGGAAATTTATATATACGTAAGTGTAAAAATGTACACAATGAGCGTAACGTAAGAAACATCTCGAGTATTAGGTTATCCGAAAAGTTTCTTTCGTTTTATGAGGAAATAATAGACGCACAACGTTTTTTGTTTTGTATTATTTTGTCGAATTATGTACGATCCATTTTGTTCTGTTGAAATAAACACCGCGACATTTCACAGACTTGGTTTCACGTTTGTACGAAGGTGCACTGTTGTTAAAAACACGTTTGCGAAAGAAAGACACCTTCCGGACAACCTAATACTTGTTACAGCGCTTACGGTATTTAGCGGGTGAAACAAATTTCGAAAATTATTTCTATTTAGATTTCTTTAGTTTACGTTTCTTTAGTTGTGTTTATGCATCAATAACATCCACGGTTTAGATTAGATATACGTATGTACCTAATTTAGTTCTATAGAAACATGTCAATATTATGATCAGCTTATTGAGGACGAACGAGTCTTAAATGTCGGGTAATTATTTTTTTAAAACATGCATGCTATAATTATCCGAAACAGTTACATTTTCAAGTGTAACGTGTTACGTTGTAATTTATTATGTAAAGCGTTCAATTTTAAAAATCTTTCTTTTTTCTTTATTTTACTTGCATATCACTACGCTTCGTTTGATTTCACTAGCAAATCATTATCGTAGCGAAATGGTAAAATTCCAAGCTATCAAGTTTTATCGATTTTCACGTAAACTTCGTGTAGAAACTGATTGAGGAGAGGATGATGTTCGTGGAAGAAAGAAGAAAAATGTTTGATATAATTATACTAATCCACGTGAAATATTGGATTTTCAGGATGAACAACCCAAACGATACGCCAGATGCGAATGAAGACAGTAGAACCGGAGTGTACGTGAATCATGGTTTGACCGGCTCTAGGAATAGTTTGAATCTCGATCATTCGAACAGTTCTGAAATTCTACATAATTCGTACGAAAGTCACCAAGAAACACAAGGTTCTTCGGATTTTATCTGTAAGCACATGTAACACTAAAATGACTAATTAATTTACATCTGACGTTATTAATGTGATCACTTGTATATAAAACCACCGAGTAAGTGAAATCCCTCATTTCCTTTTATCATTTCCAATGAATCGTTGATAATGCAATTCGCAAAGTATACGAATAATTTGTTATAGCAGATACATTATATCAATTCGCATAGTTAGACGCGTTTCTTAAAAACGATGAAAAATGGGTGATTCATAGAAATTACTTTACGAAAATAGAATCGAAAAGATGACAGAGAATCGTGCACGGTAGTTACGCATTATATTGATTATATCGTAAATTAAGATAACCTTAACTTCATATTTTTTTTTGTTGCTTTGTTATATCTAGACTACGGATATTTATGTATTTCTGGGGAATTTAAAGACTTAGGAATGCACGAAATACACCTAATACGTAGAAATATACAAAATATTTAATGTAAAATATTCACTGTATATAAAATAAGATCAGACACGAATTTTTCCACTTACGATTAGATATACGCGATCTAATTACATGTAACTAAAAAATACATACGAGTTAGCGGATTGATAGTAATTTAACAACAGATGTATAACAACAACTTATAAAATAAAGTACAAGGGTGAAACTAGACTGAATCAAACTATCGCCTAATAAGTATACGAAAACAAATTGTACGATCGCATTTTCATATACGTATGTACAGCACGCTCAAATTATTACTTTAACAATACGATGTTAAACGATCTCTATAACCTAAAATTAGAACGATTGATCGTTCGTTCTGTCTTTAAATGATCATAGATCAACAATTGATTTACTTGTTTACAATCGGCGCCTGAATTATTCTTATTATTTCTTAGTTGAACAACCAAAGAATAGTCAATGATATTATTCCATCTTTGTTTCGTATAGTGGTAGAAGAGTCTGACGATTACAGATTGGAGCAGAAGGATAGTTTTGTACATTCCACGTTATATCAGTTGAAGCGACGTTGTAAATCGGCTTGTACGAAGAAAACCATTTATAAAAGGGTTCCAATTTTAAATTGGTTACCAAGGTATAGTTGTCACGACGGACTTGGTGATCTTGTTGCCGGCGTTACCGTGGGCCTTACTGTCATTCCACAGTCGTTAGCATATGCTAACGTAGCAGGTTTACCAGCTCAAGTTAGTACTCCTCGATAATTACAAAGTTCAGTGAAAAAGTGGTACAAACGCATAATTTTCCAAAGCATCGGATAAGTACAGAGAATAATATAAAATCGTATTTACGAGATAATTTTTCTTTATTTATTATATTAATTAATTCATTACGAATTTCCAAACTTTCATGAGTATGTACCTGTGTACCTATAGTAATATATTTTAAAAGCATACAAATCCTGTGGTAGGCTTTACAGTTGCCTATCTTTTCAATTTTTTATTATCAATTATCAATTTTCTCAAATTAGAAAATTTTGTCGTTTGCACTACTTCTACTTGTTCTCCGTTGATTTCTATCTTAGTTCGTGAGATGTCCCGTTCGCGTGTGCAAATTATCAAACGAGATAAAAATAAGATGGTTAATGAAAGAAATTGTGTTTTACAGTATGGACTGTATGGTAGCTTTCTAGGCTGCTTTATTTATGTTATATTCGGATCTTGTAAAGACACACCAATGGGACCTAGTGCCATCATATCTCTGCTCACGTACCAAACAGTTTCACATCTCGATGCACCATTGCAACACGCGATACTCCTCTGCTTTTTGGCCGGGCTGATAGAACTGATAATGGGTATATTTGGCCTTGGTAAATATCTACAACATATACTGTCCGCTTACCATTTACGATAATGATATTCGAAATAAAAGAAAGTTCTGAATATATAACTATTCCCTTTCGTAAATATACGTATAAGTTGGTTCAATAATATGTGTTCCAGGATTTCTAATTGACTTTGTGTCTGGGCCTGTTAGCTCTGGTTTCACATCAGCGGTAGCTTTGATAATCATTACTTCGCAAATAAAAGATGTACTGGGCATTCCTGCGAGAGGTTCGCAGTTCATTGAAATGTGGAGAAATCTTGCTGAACATATACACGAAACTTCAGCTTGGGACGCTGTTCTTGGAGTGACTTGCATTGTGCTCCTTTTATTTCTCAGAGTACGTATACATTATTATACATATGCGATCGTATCAAAGAATTATTAACGCTTTGATAATGTAGGAACGAATAATTTAAAAAATAATATATTTCTTTATTCTCAAAATTTCCTGCATTCCTAGTGTCAGATATAGCAAAAATACATGCACACACATATTTCCAAATTTTTTATATTTTTAGGAAAGAACTAATAATTGCGCTACTTATATATGATGACATTTTAAATGCTGTATTATTTATTATATGCATTAAATACTGTACATAGCATGTAAAATATCTAACTCTCATAACAGATATTTTTCCGATTTCTTTTTTATAGCTTTTTGCATCGTACAATGTCGGCCCCAAAGAAGAAGAATTGCAAAGTACAAAATATCGCGTGTTAAATAAACTCATATGGTTATTCGGTACATCACGAAATGCTCTTCTAGTAATATTGTCCGGTCTTTTGGGATACAGCTTTAGAGAAGACTCGCCCTTCAAATTGGTTGGTAAGAACAATAAATTGAGATCGATTATTGATTATGTAAATATATTACTGACTGTATTATTATTAAATATACTAATTTTTTTAACAGGATATATACCAGATGGTATGCCAAACGTACGATTACCACCATTTAGTTACATGAAAGATGACAATACAACGGTGACATTTATCGATATGGCTTCAAATTTGGGAAGCGGTATCCTCGTTTTACCTCTTATCTCGTTAATGGAAGATATTGCCATTTGTAAGGCCTTCTGTAAGTTGATACATCATTTTTATACATTATAAATGTATTCTTTACGTGAATAATAGTACCGTTTTATTATATGCGACAAAAAGGAAAGGTTTTCATATTTATTTCAGCAACTGGAAAATCAGTTGATGCAACACAAGAATTAATAGCGATTGGAATATCAAACATTGGTAATTCTTTTGTTCAGGCGTTTCCTGGTACAGGATCTCTTAGTAGAAGCGCGGTAAACAATGCTTCTGGAGTAAGAACACCAATGGGAGGCATTTACACAGGTAGAATAGCAATTGCTAGAATTATTAATTATTTATTATTAATTGTTAATTTAGAATTATTATAATATAATTATTAATTATTTGTTACTAGAATTTTTTATATAATTACCAATTTTTTTCATATATATAGATCTCACACAATTATCATTTGTTTCAGGTACCTTAGTAATATTAGCCCTTTTTTTTCTCACTCCTTACTTCAGCTACATTCCAAGAAGTACATTAGCAGCAATTATCATAGCTGCAGTAATATTCATGGTTGAAGTTAAAGTTGTAAAGCCAATGTGGAGAACTAAAAGTAATAACAATTTAAAATATGAATTGAAAAATAGTGTTAACTACTTTCAAAAAATTAACGTTTTTTAATATTTTATTTTTACAGAATCAGATTTAATTCCCGGACTGGGTACATTTATCGCATGCCTGTTGTTAAAATTAGAGATAGGTATTCTATGCGGTATTGGATTAAATATTTTATTTATTTTGTACCACGCGGCACGACCAAAAATATCCGTGGAAAAACTTACTGTACGTATCTTTCACTCTTTAACTTATTTAATTGTAATATTTTATATATGTGACTTTAAACCATCGATTGTATATATTTTTGTTATTTTTATTATTATTTTATGTATTATTTCTTTAATATTATTTATTTATTCATAGGTTTCTGAATATATTTTGACTGTATCTTATGTTACAGACTCGACATGGCATTCGATATCTCATGCTAACTCCAGATCGGTGTTTAATTTTTCCATCTGTTGATTACGTTCGAAATTTAGTAACAAAATATAGTCAAAGAACTGGAAACATTGCAACCCCAGTTGTAATCGATTGTTCTCATATTTATGGAGCAGATTTTACTGCAGCTATGGTAATTGAAACTTTAATAAAGGATTTCGCATCGAGGGGCCAACCACTCTTCTTCTACAATCTAAAACCTTCAGTTTATGCCGTGTTTGAAGCTGTCGCATCAACTGATTTTGTTGTATATTATACTCAGGAGGCGTTAGATGATCTCCTTAAAGACAGAGGATACATCAAACAAATTAAATAATGCACATTATTTACGTATATAGAATAACATAATGCAATCTGGATTACCATGTTATTTTACATTGATCGTATAAATGGTAGTCTCATCTATGAAAAATTATTAAACATTTTTCACGATTGTATCATCATAATTAAAATCTACAATTATAGATTTTACGCAAAAATAAAGTATAAGACAAATATTTTTCATTAACGTTCAACGAAACATGTCAAACGCATATCATCGCATTTTATATTTAAAAATGCATTGTGATTAATGTAATTATTTATATTATATGTATTATAGCACAAACATGTTTTTAATAAATCATTTTTATGATGTACTATATGAAAAGGAAATTATATTTTAATTGTTCGCTAATCACTGTCGTTATTTATAAAAAATAAGTGACATACATGCACTTTATACCGACACTTTTGTGCATTATACGTTACTATAACAAAATTGAAACTTTAAACAAATTTTTATATTTAATGGGAAATAATTTATGTCATAGTGAGATCCTTTCAGGAACGCATCCTTTAAGTTTGAACTTGGTAATACACAAGAACACAAGTAGATTACAGTATAAGGAAAATAAATTATAAGTATAATAACAGAAAAAGCATTAATTAGATCCATTAATGCATACATTATGTGTCATATTAAAACTATTTTATAAAAGTGTATAGATATACTTATATTGTACCATTTTAAGTTATACAAAGAAACATCAATTCTTTTGAAATTTCCTTCAATCTCTGCGCCTCGAAGTATTGTGTCTTAATTACATTTATCTGTAATAGCACTATGGATGGGTAGATATTAGGAGAGAAATGTAAAGAAGAACAAACATACTTTAAATATTTTATTATTAAATCAAGTAAGAATGTGTTTTTACTCATTTTCTTGAGAACGTAATCTTGCGCTGCCATTAGTTACCCTTATTGAAAGTTGTTGAGCACGTTCAACAATGGATTTACGTTTTTTACTGCTTACTCCATGAGCGATCTCAGCGCAGAATTTTCTGTTTTGCATCATTAAAACTTCTAATTCCTATAAACCATCCAAAAAATAAATATTATTACAATTATTATATAGAATCAGTTCAGTATAAAAATTTATTAAATAAGTCAAAATATAAATACAAGTTACATATTTTTTGATGTATAAGAATGTACAATTTTTTGTCTATAATAATTGTTGAGTGAATGATAATTCTTCTTACCTTAACATTGTGTACCAGAACTTTCCTGAAACCAGTTGGTAGCATGTGACGAGTTTTCTTGTTGCTACCATAACCAATGTTGGGCATCAAATATTGTCCCTTAAAGCGCCTACGAACTCTGTTGTCAATACCTTTGGGTTTACGCCAGTTTCTCTGAAGAATTATTTTGTTAAGATTTTTAAATCAGTTATTGACATTGATAAATAATAAACAATATAAAAACTAACCTTCAATTTACTATAACGATCACTCTGATGACGAATGAACTTCTTCGTTCTCTTTTTCACAATTTTAGGCCTGTATACCGGTCGAATAGCCATTTTTTACACTAAGAACATAAATACAATGTAAATTAATTCATATACAGTTATAGAAATAAATTAATAACAACACATTTTGTCACATATTTTTTAATCGTACAATTGTGACGGTAAATTATTTTTTAAAAATATGATGTATTTAATCAATCTTTATTCATTCATATTAAACTAATATGTGTATATTTTATGTTACACGAATGATTTTCAATAAATTTTCGGATTTCTGTGGAATTACGTACCGTCTCTTACTACACGCCAAACAAAAAAGGTTAGGTTGAACTTGGATCACGGTCGTTTAATAAAGTATTGTGTCTAGTGATACCTTATTTAGTGACACACAAAAAGAAACTATAAAGTTAGTCAGATATTCTCTTCAATTTACATCGTAGAGATAACTATCTAACAAAATAATTACAACTTTTGTTTTAATTTTCGTACAATTCAATTGTTTTTAATTTTATTTAATTTTCAATTTACAGAGCGCGAGTGAAGCGCCTTAACGCTTCATAGAAACAATCCAACTTCCCCAAATCTTCCCCAATTCTCCAAATGGGCATCAAAATCAGACGTATGTGACAGCATAGCCTATGAATGTAACGCGACGAAAAGTTACCAGATACAGTCTGCTATATCTTTCTGTCAAAGCGTTCTTTGATGAATTCGTATAATGAGCAAAGAGAGTAAATGAATATGTAAATGTGACGTAAAATGTCTTTACCGGGGCTTTTCATTTGAGATATTTGAAATGATGTAACATATGTAGGTAAAATGTACCAATGTGTTAATATTTCAAAACGATTTGACGTTACTAGTGTGTGCAAAATTTGAAGTATTAATAATTATCTCCTTTAAAGGTACCGTATCAAAAAAACGAACTATAACTTATTTACTGTTCCGTTATATGTGATTAACGGAAATTGTAATAAATTTTTTTAGTTAGTTTTTCATAACGATTTTGAATAATAAAAGTGCCGAATTTTTAATACTGGATACATTACATGCTTTGCGACAATTATAATGTACATTGATATGTACATATTTCAATATTTGTTATCTGTGTCGGACTGAACAAATTTTTTTTTAATATCGCTATGATCTGTGAATGCCTGATAAAAGTATTAGAATAAAATTATTACAATAAAAATTAGTATACTGTTCACAAAAAATTGTGTCAAATATATAGTCCCAATTTTATTCAATATACTAACTTCAATATTGCACTAATGGCTTTATTATATGATAAAATTATTCATATAATTTAATTATTATTTATTTTATTAACATTTTTATTTCATTTTTATTTACAGCAATATAAAGAAATATAATTGATTGGTACTATGTTTTAAAAAATGCCATCTGAGATTAATGTTAAAAATATAGGTTCTGAAGAAGATAATGGAGAAAATGAACCTGAAGAACAATCTGTTACGTTATTAACAGTCGGTGTGACAAGTGAAGAATCTTCAGCTACAGTAAATCATGTGGAAACCAATACCATAAGAAATAGTAGCAAAAAAGTGATTAAGTCTGATGTTAGAAGTGATTTTATAGAACAGGATAAGAATCCTTCTTTGTCATCAGATGTAAACTGTATGTCAAATGAAAATGATTTACAGCAACAGAAAGCATCTTCTAATGAAGAAGTAATTGATAAAACAAGTAATATTCAGGTATCGGATACCCTTGAAGATCTAAGTGCATGTTCTGAATCAAAATGTGATAAAGGAAGTGTAATTTCCAAGAATGCTGGTGCAGCTGCATTACCATTGGGTTGTGCAATTAATGATATTGCTAGTGTTTCAAGTAGGTTGGATGATGAAATTGCACAAAACTCGAGACAAAAACATTTATCATTGTCTCATAAAAACTTAACAAGAAAGAAGTGTTTCTTGGCAAGTATAGATAGTAGTCCTGGAAAGGTAAACAGTTTTGTAGAACAGCTGCCTTTATCTTCTAGAAACATGATCAGAAAGAAACAATTTTTTAGCAAAGATTTGCAATCTAGTAGCACAGAATCACAATATGAACAGAGTACAGGGGACAAACATAACAATAATGATGACAATGTTTTACAACAATTTAATTGTCAATTTAGTACTCACAACAGAGATTCTATGAAAGATGCTTGTAGCTTACCATTACAGGGTATAGCTTCATGCAGTTCTGATGAACCGTTACAATTTCTGAGCACTTCAATAAGTGAAACACATAGCAATGATATTGTTAATACACATAAATCATTAAGTATAACAGAAAATAATAATAAGAGTATAAGTGAAAATTTAAGCAGATTAAATGAAGCTGGTAGTTCACACACATCTAAAAGTGTGCCAAAATCACAAAACATGTTAACAGATTTAGTACATTGTAATGATATTACAAAAAAACCATTTAAACTGCCAATTTTAGAAAATTTATCTGAAACTGCCAGCGCTCAGCAGCATGAGCTGGAAGAAAATGCTGTGGCACTATTGGAACCATCATCAACTAAAGAAGCCCAAGGCATTGAAATAGAACCTCGTTCTTCAAACAGTAGTGATGCAAGTAATTCTGATACAGAATCACAACAAGCAGTTCTAGGTCATAATGGGACCAAAAAGGTGCAGTTACTTTAACTGTATTAAAATTTGATAAATATTTATTATTATGACACTCAAATAATTCAGCATTCTATTGTTATTTTTAATGTTTAATCTTACTTATGTACTAAATGTTTCATATTTTTTCTTAAATCAAACAAGTTTCAATATTTGATATATGCAAATATGTATATTTCCTTTACACTTTTATATATGCACATGCAATTTGATTTTCATTTCAAAATTGTTAATAGATTAATATTACACTCCTTCAAATTTATAAATTAAATTTTGGTATAAAACATGTTGAAAGTAGAATTGTTTTAAAATCACAATTTATAAAATATATTTTACTTCAGAGACCATGTGATACAAATGGTATTGTAACAAAAGAAGGCGTGGAATATTATCAATTGTGGCGAAGTACAGAAGGCTTTTCATTTCCTGAAGGTTTATATGAAACATTGTATCCAAATCCTCCACCACTACCACCACGGGTAACGCACAAACTTTTACATAGAAGTAATGCTTTACCAACTGGCCCACCAGAATTACCCAAAAGACATCCTCAAAAATATTCTGCACCCTTGCACCCTGAAGATTGTTTTGGATTTGAAATTGTAGATGTTGATGAAGCTTCTAATTCAAAGGTAATTTAATGAAATATATGCACTGCAGTTAATTGGTAAGCATATAATGTAATTTTAGCTTGTATTTAATATTTTTTTGTGAATATTGATGTCTCATATAAAGTTTTTACAATTTTTTATATTTATATGATTCCCGTATTTACATTGTTATAATCAATCCCCTTAATATTTTAGTCGCGGAGAGCTGTCACAAAAAGTATTGCGCTGTTAAGTTCACCGAGGCCGCCTAGACCATTAGAAAGACCAATATCTGGTTTAACAAATCCATTAGAGTGTCCACCAACACCTACACATCGTCCAAAGCCATTGCGTCCGTTACCGATGTGTCAAACATCTAATGTACCATTACCATCTGAGGAACCTTTGCCACCATGTAAGATAAATTTAGCATAACTTTAATAATGTTATAGTGTAATTAAACAAGAAAATTTTATTGAATATATTATTATCGCAGCATGGGAAGCAAGAATCGATAGTCATGGTCGGGTGTTCTACATAGATCATATTAATCGAACGACAACTTGGCAAAGGCCCAATTTAACAACACGGAACACTGGCTGTGATCTTCGGAGGCAGCAATTAGACAGACGTTATCAGAGCGTTCGTCGAACTATTTCTCGACCCGACAATATTGATCGCGAGCCGTCTAGTTCGCAACATGCAAATGGAAATAATTTCGAGAATATGGAACGACCGAATGAACGAGTCGAAAGAATTGAAAACGAACCATTCGATATTAATACGAGTCCTCCAGTATTATTTTTAACGAGACCCGATTTTTTCACAGTATTACATAGTCATGCAGAAGCAGTGGAATTGTATAATCGTAATCCCAGTTTGAAACACATGATTAGCAAAGTCAGAAGAGATACAGCAGTTTTTCCGAGATACGAACATAATAGAGATTTGGTTGCATTAATAAATTTCTTTTCCGATCCAGCTAAAGAACTTCCAAGAGGCTATGAATCAAAACTTGATAGAACAGGCAAAGTAAATATGCCATGATTTAAATTATTTCCGTTATTTGAGAAATCTTTCTGATAGTCAATTGTTAATATTTTTAGAAATTTTTCATTTGTCATGCAAGAAAAGCAACATCTTTCATTGATCCAAGATTACCTACTGAACCGACTCACACACGAACATTATTGGATGAAGCACCTGTACCTCCACCTAGACCACAACAGTCAGCTATTACAACTACACCCGATATACCTGTAGCTTATAACGACAAAGTTGTTGCCTTTTTGCGCCAACCAAATATAATGGATATCCTAAAAGAAAGACATTCAGCATTAGGACAAAATATTGCGCTTCGAGAGAAAGTAAATACGATACGAATTGAAGGGACGAGTGCTTTACAACGATTGGGACATGACGTACCTCTAGCATTATTATTAAGGTACAAAATAATTTAATTTCTGAAGGCGGTAAAGGATGAAATAATATTAAAATATTGAATTTATTGTTGCAGTTTGTTTGAACAAGAAATTATGTCATATGTACCTGGAAACGTAGGCAGATCTCCATTAGGTAGTCCGCATGCTTCGCCTGGCTTAACAAGAGCTTCTGCTAGAGCTCCAGCTCCATATAGAAGAGATTTTGAAGCTAAACTTAGAACATTTTATAGGAAGCTAGAAAGTAAAGGATATGGACAAGGTCCAGGAAAATTAAAGTAAGTATATTCCAATATAAAAAATGTATAAATATATTTATTATATTATACACTTTTTATATATTTTATTTAGATTACATATTAGAAGAGAACATTTCCTGGAAGATGCTTTCACTCGTATTATGGCTGCTTCAAAAAAAGACTTGCAAAAAAGCAAGTTAGTTATTATGTTTGATGAGGAAGAAGGTGTAGATTATGGTGGCCCATCCCGTGAATTTTTCTTTCATCTGTCGCGCGAACTTTTTAATCCTTATTACGGTTTATTTGAATATTCTGCTAACGACACTTATACCGTACAAGTGTCGCCAATGTCAGCTTTTGTAGATAATTATCATGATTGGTTCAGGTTTTCAGGCAGAGTATTGGGTTTAGCTTTAGTTCACCAATATCTGCTTGATGCCTTTTTTACAAGACCATTTTATAAAGCTCTTCTGAGAATACCAGCGAGTCTAAGTGATTTAGAGAGTTTAGATCAAGAATTCCATCAAAGTTTAATGTGGATTAAAGAAAGAGATATAAGTATTGAACCATTGGAATTAACTTTTTCGGTCACGGAAGAACTTCTGGGCCGAGTAGCTGAACGTGAACTAAAACCAGGAGGAAGAAACATTGCAGTTACAGAGAAAAATAAAAAGGAATACCTTGAAAGAGTTGTACGTTGGAGACTTGAGCGCGGTATTGCCGAACAAACGGAATCTCTAGTTCGTGGATTTTATGAAGTCGTAGATCCACGATTAGTATCAGTTTTTGATGCACGAGAATTAGAATTAGTAATAGCTGGAGCGGCAGAAATTGATCTTAACGATTGGAGAACGCATACAGAATACAGAAGTGGTTATCACGATGCACATCCAGTAGTAGAATGGTTTTGGAGCAGTATAAGCCGATTTACTAATGAACAACGATTGAGACTGCTACAATTCGTTACTGGTACATCAAGCATTCCATATGAAGGATTTGCAGCTTTACGTGGATCTACAGGACCACGGAAATTTTGCATTGAAAAATGGGGAAGGCCAAATAGTTTACCCAGGTATAAAAGTTGTCTTAAAACTAATATAATGAACAAAACAATTAGAATTCTTATGATATTTATGGTATGAATGTTTCTCAAATTTGTTAATAGTATCATTTTGTTTATTCAATAATGCTATTCTTCAAAATAGATAACTTTTTAGGGCTCATACATGCTTTAATCGCTTGGATCTTCCACCGTATCCTACGCCTGAAATTTTATATGAAAAGCTTTTATTGGCTGTAGAAGAAACAAATACTTTTGGAATAGAGTAAGAGAATTTGCTATGATTACAGCAAATGCATAACGATATAAGAAAAACATCAAGGTTCGTGTTATTTGAATAAAGCATCATTGCAGATTTAAAGTTAGATTGGTAAGATTGGTAATGTATTCTACTATCCAAAAATTCATGATCGGATTTTTAGATTACTACAATCAAAACTGTATCAAAATGTAAATATCTAACAAAAACAGTTGCGCATATTTTGAAAATTTTAAATATTGTATACATATTGCTGTAATCTATTTATATTTAAACTAAATAACGATTCGCGTAGTACATTTCTTGTATAAAAATTATAGATTTAATACATTGAGAAAAAATTCTTAGGTATGAATATATACAATTATTTCTGTTCAAACTTCTATAGTTCTAGAAATTGTTCGGAAAACACTGTAGATATATGTGGTATAGAAAAAATTGATTTTGAAATTGATACAAAAATAAGCGACTTATTTAGCATAATTTCTATAAAAGCTTCTTTTCTTTATATTTTGTACAAATTTTTTATAAAAATTGAAGAGCATTTAATATCGCATTTCACAAAAATATATAATGCAGCTATGTAGCTAATTTATTCTGTTGTCTACCTAGTTTGTAGATATAATACTGATTTCTAGTCTATATTTTTAAATATTCAATTTTGCAGCTATTTTTCTAATGTTTTCAGACATTCCATGTCAATTTATTTAATATTTTCGTAATTAATTTACGAAGTTCTACAATGAAGCAAAAAAAATGTTTATAAAACAAAAACTTTTTATTGCATATTTAGTGATATCTTCTCACAAGTAATCAAGGCGTTTTATAAACATTCTTCCAACGTGTTTTATATAATTTATCTTCAAACTAAATAAAAATTTCCAGTATTTGTTATTAATCAAGAATGTTTAAAATGTCCAGAAAAGCAGTTAATGAATAAACAATGAAAATATGGATAATATATGAAGAATATACAGTCAATGAAAGTAATAAGAATAATCAATCATCATTCAGTTATTAATTTCACATTTAGCATTAACATAGACGTTTTATAGAATTTTATTTAATATGTCGGACATCGTTTGTAATTCGTTTATTTAATTCTTTAAAACTAATACTAAACAAACGTTATAATATTACTTGAAGAATTGATGAGCATGTAGATGGTCCTATACTTCAAGATTTAGTCTACCTCTTGAACTTTAATCTCACTTTTGCGGCATTAATGTAAAAAATTTTCACCTGTTAATCATTTAATCGTTTCTCATCTCAAAAGAAAAGAAACTATGTATAATATACAAAACATATACGGGTTTCTGTAATGTGCAAGAGATAATACAACACAACTTTATTTATATTTCTCCTGACCCAAAATTATATTACAAAATAAATTTAATGAAATTATTTATTATCTAGTAGAATTCAAAATGAAGTATTAAATATCTATAAAAATGGGCAAAAAAATAACAATTAAAAATGATGATATAAAATATGAAAAACATTTTTATATGTTATTTACTCTTAAACTTTCGTTTAAGTGATTGTTTGGTTTTGTGTGATGTTAGTAGTACGATAAGTAACGTCGATAAATAACAATAATAACATTAATGTAGTAATAATAGAAACAATATTTATTAAATAGAAATACTAATATTATGTGATTGTTGAAGATAAGTTGCACCTTATATTATCTGTAAACTAGTCATATAGCATGGCAAATTATAGACTATTTAGTACATATTGTACAAGTTACAGGCATTGTAATATTAGATAACACATAACATTTACAATGAACCATGACTGTGTGAGAGCATTCTTTACTTTATTGTTAAAGAAAATAAAATGTGCCTCTTTTGTTATGTTACATTAAACATTGTTCTTCCTTTCTTATAATATCCGATCTACTTTCATGCAAAAAAAAAAATTATAATAAGCAAACTTTTCTAATTTATAGAATAATTACAGTCTTACGAAAAATTAGGTATTCAGAGGAAGTGAAAATTTTAAACTTAACGGATAGTATCTTCTAAAAAATCTAATTTAGTCGTGACATGTCATACAATTGTCTAAAAATATATCCCGAAAGTGTGTACAATTACATTTTTACGTTCCGAGATCTGAAGTTAAAGATTATCCATCAAATTAAATGTGAAATATTTTTAATTAAAAAAATTTGCGTTACTTGACAATTTTATTTCTTAAATAACGCAAAATCGAGTTGGTGATTCATAGTTCTAACAAAGAAAGTTTGTCGATAAAGTTTTCAATAATTTCACACGTATGTTCATTATTATGTAATGGTTATATACAAGGCAATACCAATGCATTTTTCCATGGTCGACTTATAATCAATTTGATGTTTTATTTTATAAAATACCAATATTCTTTGTTTCGCGAAAATATAAGATATTTGACAAATGTCTTCGTAGAAAAATTCTATGAAGACAATGTTGCAGTCTATGCAGAAACATAGTGCAAAATCTGTTTGAAATGTTTGAATCAATAAATGTCAGGTTATGAAGGTCACGACAGGATGTAAGAACAAAAATAATGAGGGTAAAGAAAGGCAGCACCGTAGTAAAGTGCAAAAAAAAATCAATTACGGATTAGAACCAAGGTTTTTAAATATATTTTTAGTACATTTTCATACAATAAATTTTATATTTCAGATTATATACTTGTATATCAGTACCAAAATGATATTTATTTTCTTTTCTTAAAATCAAAAGAGAAAGAAATTTTGAAATTTAGTGATGGTATGCTAATAAAGTGTCCCAAAAAAATATATATCTCTTAATTTACTTTTTACAATTTTTTATAATACTAAATTTTTGTGTATTTTTTTGTTACGACAAATTCATAATTCATTGCGTGAATATAGATAGGTGATATACATATATTTTCAGTTATTACAAATATGTTAATGATAGATAAAAATTTTTGTGCGCGAGAGATATAATGTTTATTATAAATGTATATCATTTTAATATAATATTGTAATATAATATTATTTTATGATTGTGTTTTAATAAATATTGATATCTAAATAAATGATGCAATATCATTATCAAAATATTCCATTATCTTTGTACAAGTTGTATTTGTGAATTCTGATATTAGGAAGCATAAAATTTGAAATTGGCCAATTTAATATGCATTCGTAAATTGTACAAATAGCAAAATTTAAATTTCATATATCGAGGACTATTAAATGCAATCGAAGTACGAATTACCTAGTAGAAAGATAAAAAATTAATTTTTAACGATATTAAATATGAAAACATTAAATCCAATTGTCCTTCCTTCATTAAAAATAATTTGATGGAAGCTATATCATATGATTATAATTATTCGCACTATTTTATCAGGTAAACTAAGAAATCTGTTTAAAAAATATTGTCATATAACCTACAAAAATATAATTACAAATTTAGATTCAAATTGAACGACTTAAAGCATTAGTCAACAAAAAAACAATATTTGTAAACTAAATTAAATGAAAAATGTATTATGCAAAAAAAGAGGTTATATAAAATAATTACAGACATTATGCTCAAATTTCAGATATACCAAATAATTTATAAACGTTATAAGTAAACTATAATTGATTTTCAAGGAGGAATATTAGCATCCTACAAAATGACCAAACAAGTATTTGGCTAGAAAATGGAATAAGGATCCGACGCCCACGCAGGTTACAGCCCTGGTATGTATGATATCCGCCGACAATGCTGTTTCGTGTGCGCAAACAGGCAAGTCGTACGGCGCGCGCGCACGTTTAGTTCGACGCGTTTGCGTTAAACTTTGTCTAGACTTCTCATCGATTGGTTTTTAGAGTACCCGAAGTATATTCAAAAAAATCACTTCCGTGCTTCAATATAGAGTAGTAGTAATGTATTAGTAGAAGAGGGCTGGCCGCGTGTCACACCTTATATCGTCCATGTTTCTTCATCAGTCTAACATAAGTACGATCGTTGATTCTCACCTTTGCACACGCAAATCAACCCACCCGCAAAATCATCGAACAACGGCAGCCATCTTTGCTGGCTCCAAAACGGGCTGTGGTTTGTGACAGAGAAGACGGTAGTGGTTCTTGATGCGGTTCACGCGACCATCTCGTCGCCTATGCACCCTACGAGAGATCGGAAATCATTTTTAAGTGTGACTAATCAGAATAACTAAGGAACTCGTGTCACGAATTCGAGCTACCGAAATATGGCAATGGAGACGCCGAGGGAGCGTGAGATTGCCGCGGAGGACAGTATCAAGGTAGTCTGCAGATTTCGACCTTTGAACGACTCCGAGGAGAAGGCTGGCTCGAAATTCATCGTAAAATTCCCATCCGGCGGCGAGGATAACTGCATCTCTATAGGGGTACGTAGATTTTACACGCGTCATTCTCGTTTTTAGTTATCACATTTAGTTAACCGTGTTCAGCTTACGTGTGATGTCATCGTGCACAGCTGACAGCTGCTCTCTCGGTCCTTCTCTATATTCAGTATATTCTATCTGTAAACCGTCTGCTATGCATTTAACGCCGATTAAAAGAATCCTTCGATCGACGCACAGGATGATTCATTTTTGTTATTTTCGGCGAAATGGAGATTTCATTCCGCCTCCATCAGTGCTTCGTCGAGCTGAACGATTTCCTCACGTTGACGCATCTATTTCAGCGAATGATTAAACCGTAATTTCAAAGTAGATACAGTACTGAATTGTCAACGATCGAATTTCTTTTTCGTTCATCGACCGTAGTCAATTGTCAATTTAACTACATATATATATATTTTGTGGCGTTAAAAATTGTTGTTGGCCTCAGATTCGTCAAATACAAGTTCAACTTTGTGAAATGTTTGATCGCATTCGCTACAACTTAATTTAATAAACGATCCTGTATTTCTTATAATTATTAAATGTTTGTAAAATATTTCCACTACCTATAGCCTTAATTTCTCCTTATCCTCATTATACCCTTGCAGGAAATATATGTACACTTCATGATTTTTTTATATATTACGATTTTATCAGCTGTACTAATAAATAAATCCTCATTTTATAATAAGATAGATAAATATATAGATTATCAAATCATTTAAGTGATTAGGACTTTTTTAATTGATAGTGTCAGTATTTTTAAATATCTGTCTTTCTATCTATGTCTTTCTTGCATTATGATCTTATTGTTTCTATATAAACAAATAATTTAATTTTTGTAATTGTATATGGTTTTGTATTAAGAATATTAAACAGATATATAATTATATATTATGAATATTTGTTTTTGAAAATATGTTTATGAAAATTTATTATTGTATATAGAAATTAAAACTATTCCTAATGATATTTTTACTTTTGTATGTATTTTTCTGTAGACATGTATTTTTAAGTAGATACATGTTCATGAATGTACCATTTCATATAGAAGTCTTTTGATCTTGGAGCTCAGTAAAGATATCGCTATTGTTTTAAAAGGTTCCTGATACAAAGCTTCATTGAGTGCAATTGTCCCCCTTTTTTCCTATATTCTTCTATATTTCAAAGGGACTTACAAATACACATGTAATATATAATTTTCCCTACAATATTTTATTTGTGTTTCACACTGATTCGTGAAATATGTAAGATAAAAATAGAATTTTAATAAAATTAAGGTATTCTTACTTATTTAAAATTGGCAAACATTTGTCTTATGTCATTAATTTTTTAAATGAATATTATTTAAATATATTGCTTATATGTATGTAAATTGCTTATATGTATAATAACAGACATGTTTAAAAACATAATAACTCTATACTTTACCAAAATCAATAACAATTAGTTATTTTTTCGTCTATATATACCCTGTGTATCTTAAGTATCATATTTACTAATTTTGGTATTTTAGCAATTATTATTTTTTTAATAATTTCTCTATTATTATTTTTCTTTCTTATCTTTCATTCCCTTTATATAATATTTCATTTCTGTCCGTAATTGTGGACATTTTTCCATATTTTTCGTCCTAACACACCCTATAGTATTCCGATAAGGTTAACATCAGGCAATAGCTACTTCACCATTACATTTATTTCTGTTGTATTTAGTATTTCTTCTAGACATTTTTTACATATCTTCGCTAGATACGTAAGATCATTATCATGAATGAAATAGTTTCGATTAATGTAACGGAGATTACGTTTGTGCAATATACACAAATATTTTTTTTCTAAAATTTTTTATTTTTAACAAATTGCTCGTTGTGTTGTTTTCGGTCCAATTTCCAATTCGCTTTTATATAGGAAGCATTTTCTATTTTTATATATCTCTTAAATCAAACTTTAATTTAAAATTTTCAAAATTTAATTTGGATTTAAAATTTGGATTTAAAAATTTCAAATTTAAACTTATTCGTAATATAGTCTTCTAGTGATTAATGTTAATGATTTTTAGCGTACTAAAGTCTTTTTTAGAGTTGCGTACCTTTAAAATCTACTTTCCACAAATCGCGAAATTAGTTTCATTTGTTCTTTATCAATTTTTGCTTTTGGAGTAGTTTTTCTTTAATTACGTTTACAAAAATCGAATCTCAACTATTACCTTTTTCATTTCAAATTACCTGTAGTTGCGAAATTATGTATCACAGGCTATAGACAACGGAAGAAGTTCTCACTTTCTTCAAAATTTCTCTTGCAGAATAGCCTCTTCTCTTGATAAAAAGACTCTCTCAGAACACTTCGCTATACTCAAGTCTTTTCTCTTATTATTAATATGCGACGTGCACACGAAAAGTATTCAAAACGAAGTGATTTCAACTGAAGCTTTGAATTAGCTAGAAACTCTAATTTATGTTTCTGTAGTTCTATAATATGTTCTAAATATTTGTATAAATCAAAAAAATATGCGAACATAGCCATCGTGAATTAAAGGAACGGAAAAGAATGTTCTGTTCACGGCTATCATAACGGAGCGTATCTCTAATAATTCACATATATTTTCGTTTTTGTAAATTTTCATTATTCGGACAATGAAATATTTTATTGTCATATAATCAACTAATACGTAAATCGTAATACATCCGTAAATTGTATTAATAAGACTATGTGATTTGAACGACTTAAATTGTACAAATATCATATGAAAGTTTATCAAAATATGGCTTCATGTTCTAAAACTTTTGTGTAGTAGCGTATATTCTTTAATTTAATATTGCAATATTGTTTTAGGGGAAAGTATATCTTTTTGATAAAGTATTTAAGCCAAATGCTACTCAAGATAAAGTTTACAATGAAGCAGCTAGATCAATTGTCACAGATGTGTTGGCAGGCTACAATGGCACTATTTTTGCATATGGGCAAACATCATCAGGTAAATTGAAATTTTGTATTAAGTAAAATACATAAATATGTGTTATTAGTTATTGTATCAAAGTTAAGTTCTAACATGATTCTGCTAATGAAATATTTATGTGTGAATTAGGTAAAACGCACACTATGGAAGGTGTTATTGGAGACCCAAATAAACAGGGTATTATTCCCAGAATCGTTAATGACATTTTCAATCATATTTATGGCATGGAAGAGAATTTGGAATTTCATATCAAAGTATCATACTTTGAAATCTATATGGATAAGATCAGAGATCTTCTTGATGGTAAGAACTTTATTATTCATTTTACTTATATATCTAACATGAAAATTCTTAAAATTGTTACTTATAATTTTATTGTTTTTCATTCTCAGTATCTAAGGTGAATCTAAGCGTGCATGAAGATAAAAATCGAGTACCATTTGTAAAAGGTGCAACAGAACGCTTTGTATCTAGTCCTGAAGAAGTGTTTGAAGTGATAGAAGAGGGAAAATCAAATAGGCACATTGCTGTAACTAACATGAATGAGCACAGCTCACGTTCTCATTCCGTATTCTTAATAAATGTGAAACAAGAAAACTTAGAAAACCAGAAGAAGCTATCAGGAAAATTATATCTTGTTGATTTAGCTGGTTCTGAAAAGGTGACTTACATCTACTCTATTAAATCTATCATTACATCTACTTCCTTCTCCTCAGAATAAACCTTTTTTTTTTGTTTATATTATATTTTAGGTCTCAAAAACTGGAGCAGAAGGCACTGTATTAGATGAAGCAAAAAATATTAATAAATCCCTATCAGCTCTTGGAAACGTAATTTCAGCTTTAGCTGATGGAAATAAAACTCACATTCCTTACCGTGACTCAAAGTTGACTAGAATTTTGCAAGAATCTCTTGGTGGCAATGCTAGAACTACGATTATTATTTGTTGTTCACCAGCTAGTTTCAATGAATCAGAAACAAAATCGACTTTAGATTTTGGTAATAAACGAGATCTTTATTTTTGTCTTGACTAAATATATGAAGTTTCTCGATTATATATTTAATTATTTTCTTAGGTAAACGAGCTAAGACTATAAAGAATGTTGTATGCGTTAATGAGGAATTAACGGCTGAAGAATGGAAGCGTCGTTATGAGAGGGAGAAAGAAAAGGCAGCTAGATTGAAAGGAAAAGTTGAAAAATTGGAGGCTGAATTATCTCGTTGGCGACAGGGTGAAACAGTTAAACTCGAAGAACAATTTAATTTGGTTGAAGCATCAGATGTTACAACTCCAATTAATATGTCCATTGAGGGTACTATACAATTTACTTTATAAGAATGAGAATGTTGTGACATATATTATATAATTTATAATGCTTTCCACAGGTAAACTTGATGATGGTCCAATGCCGGCCACTCCTGGTGGCAATTTGATGGCTGGATCTTTATCTAACGAAGAACGGCAAAAACTAGAAGAAGAACGTGAAAGACTTTACCAGCAATTGGATGATAAGGATGAAGAGATTAATCAACAATCGCAATATGTTGAAAACTTGAAAGAACAAATTCATGAACAAGCAGAATTAATTGCGACTGCAAGGCGTGAATACGAGAAACTACAACAGGAGGTGAACCGAACACAGCAAGAACACGAACGGGCTAAGGAAGAAGTTAAAGAAGTTTTACAAGCATTGGAAGAGTTAGCAGTTAATTATGATCAAAAATGTCAAGAGGTATCTTATGTCAATAGCTAATTTCTTATATTATCTGTATTGAGAGATATAAGGATATTATTATATTATATATACATTCTTACAGTGTGATATTAAAAAGAAAGAAACAGAAACTTTGACAGAAGAACTTTTAGCAAAACAAACAACGCTGAACAGTACTGCTTCAGAATTACAACAGTTGAGAGATATGTCTGCACATCAAAGGAAACGTATTGCAGAAATGTTAGCAAACTTCTTGAAAGATTTAGGTGAAATTGGAGTTGCTATTGGCGGTGACGAAAATCTAAAGGTAAAAACTGATTTACTACATCGTTTAAAGAATTTCTTATAAGTGGAATTACATAAAGTATTACAAATCTCATATTTTATAGGTTGTACCTACAGAAAGCAATGGTAAACTTGAAGAGGAATTCACAGTGGCAAGGCTATTCATTAGCAAAATGAAATCAGAGGTGAAGAATTTAGTACAACGATGCCAAGGATTAGAAAGTTCCCAAGTAGACTGTAACAAGAAAGTAAGCGTTCGATTTCGTACTCTTTGAATTCATTATATTTGATTTTTACAATATAACGCTCATTGGTCAATTTTATTTTAGGTTGCCGAATATGAAAAAGATCTGGCTGAATGTCGTTTATTAATTTCTCAACATGAAGCTCGTATGCAAACATTAACGGAATCAATGAAAGTAGCGGAAGCACGTAAACGTGCCTTGGAGGAAGATGTTGATGCTTTACGCGAAGAATGTGCCAAGTTGAAGGCTGCAGAACAAGTACAAGCAGTTACAAATAAAGAAAAAGCAGAAGAAAAGGAAGCAGCAACAAAAATGAGAGTAGCACTAGAAGAACAAATGGATCAATTGCGAGATGCTCATCAGAAACAAGTAAATATACATTTTACATTACTATATATTATTGTTATTGTTATGAATAATTCAATACTAAATATTATTATTATTAATGAATGCAGGTCGCAGCGCTTAGGGATGAACTGTCTGAGAAGCAAGAATTGATCAGTGAACTTAAAGATTTGAACCAGAAATTCACATTAGCTCATCAGCAAATGCAAGCCGATTATGAGCGATTGAAACAAGAAGAAGCAAACAAATCCGTTAAATTGCAAGAATTAATTTTACTTAATGAACGCCGTGAACAAGTACGTATAAATTTGACAAAAGATATAGAGCAATTAAAAGTCCAAATTTCTGTAATTACTAATTAATTTTTATAGGCTCGCAAAGATCTTAAAGGTCTGGAGGAAACAGTAGCCAAAGAACTTCAAACACTGCACAATCTACGCAAATTATTTGTTCAAGATCTTCAGACTAGAATAAAGAAAACTATGATCGCAGAAGATAACGAAGACGATGGTGGATCACTTACACAGAAACAGAAGATTTCCTTCCTTGAGAATAATCTAGATCAGCTTACGAAAGTACGTGATTGAAAAATTCAGTAATTAAAATTACAAATTTGATCGCTGAATATTTTTAATGCGTAATTATACTCTTCATCAAAACATTATCTATATAATTTTAATAGGTTCATAAACAACTTGTGAGGGATAACGCTGATCTTCGATGTGAATTACCCAAACTTGAAAAAAGATTGCGAGCTACGATGGAGCGTGTAAAAGCTCTGGAAACAGCATTGCGAGATGCCAAAGAAGGTGCAATGCGAGATCGTAAACGTTATCAATATGAGGTAGATAGAATCAAGGAAGCGGTTAGACAGAAGAATCTGGCTCGTCGTGGACCTAGCGCGCAAATTGCTAAGCCAATTAGAGCTGGTCAACACCATTTAACCAATGTTAATGCTATTAGAACAGGAAATCGTGGTGAGTAATAATTTGTATAGTTATCTTTGTTATATATCATTTCTCCATTGCATATAACTATCTATATTCTTATTTTTACACACAAATCGTAGGTTTGTTCAATTTTGCATAAAAGAAATCGATAAAAAATATTATACATTTTGGAATATATTATCTAATATAGTTAAATATAAATCATATAATTTCATATAAAGAATGAAAGATTACTTAAAAGAACAAACCTTACGAGAATTTTGATTTTAATTCTCAATTCTTTTTTAATAAGTGAGTATGGGTGATTTTATTTATAAAACGTTAATTTTGCGTTAATATTTTTGGTGATATTAGTTTTGATGTTTGTTTATTTTTTCATGTTTTTATTCAGATATGGGTAACAGCGTACAGTGATCGTGAGCATAATGCCAAACCCTTCACTTTTACAGAAAACGAATGCAAGAACGCTTTCATCAATGAAAGCAATAGAGTTCCAGAGACTCTAATTTGTAGTGGATACCCATAAATGTTACAACTATATAGTAAGGGTAATAGACGTAATATATCCGCAAGGAGCACCGCCAGTTCTTTTTATTTGTCTCGAAACAAGCATGTGCTTATTAATGCAAATAAGTGCATTAAGTAAAATTAGTGCTGCATGTCCTATCGATTTGTAAATAGTTAATTTTTATAAATTATTTAACTTAATATCATGCACGATAAATAAAGGTGAATGTCTATCAAATAATCATGCAAAGGCCTCTTATGAAGAATGTTTCAATATTTATTTCTATCAAAATTTTGTATACTATATCCTATATCTTTAAAAAGACAAATGAATTCCATTATCATAGAATAGAAAATAAATTCCTAAAAGTGACACTAATGCAATTTGATCGACTTGTCTACAGTAGTTTTAATTAATCTGCTATCGACATTGAAGTTTCCCGACAAATGAGGCAGTACTATTTAAGATTTGGTAGGTATCGCTGACATGAAATGCGATTGGACATGCGGCTTTGAAAAAAACTGTAGGAATTATCGTGGCTTATAAGTATTTATAATTGTAAGAATTCTCTCCATTGCTATTAATACACTCGTGACAACAGATTTTTCGGACCAGAGAGCTCGCTTAACCGAGAGTGTTAAGTTTGTTGGCTATTCTAAATATTATTGAGGTCCAAGAACCAATGGCTTTATGAACATTTTCGACAGAAGAATTTCATCGCTATCCTCGTTCACATTTATTTTATTATAGTACAGTTTTCATTGCATGAATCTTTATATACTCATCTAATTTAAATTAATTTATTATCGCTTATTCTTGTTTATATCAGAGGCTTTTATACTACATTTAAAGTTCTGTAGACCAATGAAATTTGGCCTATAGGGTAAATCTTTTGTCTTAGATATACGTGTTAGTTTACGTTTCTTCATGTTGAGCTTATGCTCGGAAGTTACCTAGATGTATGTATACTGTACGTCTAATAGTGAGCTTTTGCACAGGTCTGCTTAAGTTCCTAAAACCTGTTGCAGGCCGCCGAAAATTCGCTCACACATGTATCTCTTTATTTTTCAGTGTAACAATTGAACGTAACGTTATACACATGCATTTTTTTAGAAAACTCTATTCTTTAATCATATTTGTTGATAATTAATGCTTTTCAATGTGTACTTTTTATGTATTTTTTTTGTAATTGTTTTATTTATGGTTCTGATAAAAATGTACGAGCCACACGTACTTGATGTATTGTCCGGAGCAGGAGAATTCTAAACAATATTAATTTAAGATAGGTTTCTGTAAACTGTGCGCGATTAAATATTTGTTTGTGATACGTTGGAATCTTATTACGCATAGATTCCTTATGGTATGTAGGCAAAAAAGATTAACATTTTCTTTATGAATCATTGTCTCTCGTTGTTGTAGACGACAACGAAAGAAATCATGTTTCCATGTGAGATCATTTTTGTCATCTTCCGTTTTTTAACTTTTGTGATATCGAAGGAGAAATTGTGTTTGCTAATATGCGAAGACAAGTGCGTGGTGCATAATGAGTGCAATTATTATTGAAATATTTTTGTCAAATGTATGTAAATATAATCGTACACTATTACATTTATTTGGCAAATTAACAAAACAATTTTTGCAAATTGCCCTACGCATAAAAGGCTACAAGTATATATATTTAATGCAAGATACACTTAATATTACTGTTTCAAAGCCTTAACGATTATCGAAATATTGTCATACGATAATGTATTTTTCATTCTACTGTTCAACTAAGGTATTAATGTGTTCGCTGAATTTTTGATCATGATTCAATTTCTTTCTTAAGCTAGTGAATCGTGAAATAAAATATCAGCTTAGCCAACTCTTTGATTGTGAGTTTCGGGCATCGACCACTTTTTCCTTATTAAATAACATTTATTTTTATAGAGTATTGTAAAGGCATTATTGATTTTTCAACATGAAGGAAGAAATTGGACGGTACTTAGTGAATAAATTTTCGTTATGATTAAAACGTGATTAAACACAATGATGACTAATCGAGTACTGTTACATAATAGCATAATGTAAATTATCCACGTAATTTTCAAATTGACATACGTGTTTATGTTCTTTTTTTACATTGTAATTCGTATGATTCGTTCGTATAATTAAAACGGGCAATGGAGCTTGAAAAAATTTAATGAATTTTATTGTACAAAAAAAAAAAAAAAACCTCCAAAATCCATATGCTTGTCGGAAAAAATCCTTTTAATCGGAAATCTCCGATGTATGTATGGGAGAAAATAGAAAAAATCAGAGTTATTATTATTTTCATAATACATCAAACATGTTTAAAATTATAGTAAAGAAAAGAAGAGAAGTAGTTAAACTTATAATGATACATTCACGCTGGAAAACAAGGATCACTGTTAATGAGGAGGTCTATAACCGCTACCGTTTTTTTGTAAACTGTACGAAGTATGCGAATGTGAAGGAAATAAATAAGTTGACAGATGTAGATATTCGTTTCATTGTTTTAGAAACATACCGAAAAATGTACAGAAAAAGTGCGACAAACTCATGTAGTTGTATCACCTGCTTTGCTACACTATGCTTTACTCGAAAAATTATTATATGTTCCATACGTGCGCTTATTTAATTAAGCTCTACATCATAACAAAATTACCGGCGTTTTAAAATACAAAAAAGATCTATAATTGATACTCGATGGTGCATAGCGAAACCTATAAGTATCGAAGTAGGTTTACTATATAAAATAGAATAATAAAAAAGAATAATAAATTCTTTTTTCATTGCATGTCTTGTGTACATGTTATAAACATTCTTCAGAAGCCCTCAATCAAATTCAGGTCTACCTCATTCGAAGCTGAAAATAAAATGAAATAGAAATTTGAAAAATCCTTCTAGAATTAGATGATAGATTTGTATGCAGAGTTAGAGGAAGGCCATAGCTTCAAGGTACCATAAATTATATTACATTTAACTTACACCCATATTTAATTAAAATTAATAAGAAGTTTATTATTATTACTTGATTAATAATTGATGATAGCTGCATTAACTTTTTAATAAAATACTACTTAAATATTGATTCTTGAATAACATAGTTATTTAATAAAATAATTTATATTACATGTATATTTGCATTTATTCAATATCAAAATTATGAATATCCAAATTTCCTTATTGATTTTATAAAACTCATATGAATATATATTAATTTACTCTTTAGTCCAAACGATAATGAACTGCTTCATTCAACTAGACTTCATTATTTTATTTATTTTCTTATGGTATTTCTTCAAAGATAAATATCATGAATGGTCTGAATATTATGGACTGGAATGTGGAACAACAATGTTTAGACAACACATTGTCATTGACAGATGTACGAAAAAAATTATTTCCTACAAAGAGTAAACTTGATCGTGCACCAGTATTAAGTGAAAATAAATATACACCAAAAACATTGGTAGGTAATTGGTTTGAGCGCAGAGCCAGTGACATAAGCCAACCTGATGATTGGAGAACATTATATGAGATAGATTATAAGCCTCATGTTAATAAAACTTGGGAAATAAACCAAATTGCAAAGTGGGAAAATAAGCTTATTCAGGAGGTATATGAATATATATATATATATATATATATATATATATATATATAAAATATAATCTAAAGTAAATTATAAAAAACAAATGATACATGATGTAATTTTTAAGTGACTTAATTTTTACAATAATATTTTGAAATACAATTTCATTGTAAGGGTTTACCTCAAGAACAATTTTTTGATCATAAAAAGGAATATTGTAGTAATATGACAACAACTTATGATTTGTGTTATAATATTTTACCAAAAAGTTTTAAAGGACCAAAAATTAGATCTTACAATGCAAGGTATATATCATTTTGTGTTAGTTATAAGTATCTCAGTTAATTATAATTATCTCAGTGCTTTAATGTTATATTCATGTTCTATAAAATTTATATTTTGTACTTGGAGACAGAGGAAATGGGTCCCTGAACAGGATCTGATGAAAAGTTTTGGTACATTAACTCAATTTGGCTTAAGAGAAGCATTAAAAGACGAATTGTACAAGAATTCACAAGAAGGAATAGCCAAATGTCAATGGTGGTCTACTTATAGGGAAGAAATTGGGGAGTTAAAGCTATTAAATATTGAACAAGATACTCAGTAAGTTATTATTTAATTTATATTAAACCTATCAAAGATATATCTTGATTTATATTTATTTTCATTGAAGATTTCACAGACGAAAAGTGAATTTTAATGTGCCAGATCTTAGACATTTCGAGCGTAAATTATCAGGTTCTGAACAGTGTTTACACCCATTGAAAGTTAAAAATTCAGTGTCACATGCAAATTGAGAATATGATAATATAAAATATATTTGTCCATTAATTAATTTGTTACAAATTTTAACAAAAATGTAATATCTCGGTTGAAGATATTACAATATTTATTTTATTAAGTTACTTTAACATCACATCTTAACACAATAAACATCATATATATTCTTACAAATACACAGAACACTTTAAATTTCATTACTTATATATATATACATAACTTTTTGTGTGTTCAAAACAGCTTTTTTTCGTATTCACAAATATAATAGTAAAGTTAAAAAAAAATCAAATATTATCGATACAAAGTGAACGCAATTTCACATTATTTCATTAATTCTTAAATTTGTTGAGTTACATATATATCTTACTAGTGAACACACACGGAGAACATTTTTTTATCACAAGATTGACAGTTTAGAACGGTAATAATTAATTTTCCGTCAAACCAGTATTCTATTTTCCACTATTATGCGTTCAACTTAACATTATTGTTCAAATTTGATACTTTATAAACTGCGTATAAAAAAAATAATATTTATTTACAATTATTTATGTGAAATAAAAAAGTGAGTGATAACAATAGAAAACTTTATACTGGCAGTACATCGCTTATTTATAAATAGGTTGAAATATTATTGATTACTATCCATTAAAATAGAAATTTTAAAAAATACTATTTTTTAAAATAGTAATCAATTGCTTGAAAAATAGTGATTAACTTATTTTGTAACTAATAACTAAAATACATATAAATGTATGTGGCAAATATAAATTTAGGAAGATCGTAAAAAATGTATGATATACCCTATCTAACGTAACAAAGTAGTACATAATACTATTATGTTTAATACAAGTGAACCACATAAAAGAACTGGTAACCAAACGGGATTTGTTACAATAGTGGCGTGACTAGGAAACGGCTGCATTTCAGAGGGACTTTTAATATCATTCATATCCATGTTTTGTCTTTGTGAACATTGATCTATAAAAGTTGAATTATTTCTTTTGTTACTTTGAGATAATGATGTTTGTGGTGTACAAAGATTGGTTGATGCAAGTTTCATTGTTTGGTTATTAATTGATTGATTTCTTGATTCCGACAATGGAAATTGAGGACTATATTGAGAAAAAGACCCAACAGGACTATTAGTTTGCCTTAGTGTATGACAAGATTGTGTCGCATCTGACATAACTGAACATTGATCAAACTCATGTATGGATGGTTCTCTAGATGGACCAAAATTAGAACCCACAGAACAAAAACCAGAACTTTGACTGGATGATCTGGACAATGATGGTGTATCTATACTTTCCTGCCAATAACCACCAGCTATCCAGGATGTTTGCATAACTGATTTTAGTTTTGGTGGTGATAAAATATTTTTTTTACCAGCCTTCTTAAAAAGCTCGGAACTTTTTGTGCTATACACCTTCGTTTCAAAAATCTTAGGCATTTTAGTTGAATATTTTGGTTTATCTTCGCCCAGTGATAATATGCTTAATGTCCTCAAACTGTCATTCAATGAGTAATTGCTCTCTATCATACTCTTTTTATATACAGGTGGAGAATTGAATACTGCATTATTATTGTTAATAGACATTGGTGATGCCGCATTTGTGCTATAACATAAAAAATTATTTTATTTTTTGTTATATATAAAATTAGTAAAAAATTAAAACATTAAAATTGCTTACAATAAACTTTGGGAAATTGTAGATTTATAATTTATTGAATTTTCCGCATAAGGAGACATATAATCTTTCATTGTATTTGGTGTTAAGCAATTGCTGGCAGTTTTGTTTATATTATTAGCAGTTTTAACATTGACATCAAGATTGTGCTTATTATTTGAAGTTGCTGTACATGAATCAAATAATACTGTATTTTTTGGAGAAGATTCAATTTTTTTAAATGACATATTTTTATTTACTGTACTTTTATATGACTTAGGCATGACATTTATAAAGCCTATGATTGAAATAAATAATATCATCTAAAACAAAAATAATTAATGTTGATTAATTTAATGTACTAAAATTTAATTATTAATGCAGTATATTTTATTTTAATTTATTAGCTTACCATATGATACTGAGTTATATATTCCAGAACAAACCACGAATTCTGAAAATCTGTTGTAATTAATTTAATGTCTTTAAAGGGTAAGAGTATAATCATACAAATCCATAAAAACATAAGTAATATATCAGAACTTTGTTTTTTTGTAGAAGGTATCCAACAGGCACAAAATTGAAAAAATAATCCTCCAATTGGGAAGAATATGAATTCCATGTTATACACTACCATAGATCCTAATATAGTTGAAATTATTCTGCATATTAGTTCGAAATATTTTGAATTCTGCAAAGAATGAAACAATTACAGTGAGAAATGCCATGCAAACCTTATTATTTGTTGTAATATACTTTATTACAATACTTACATTAGCAATTATACAAAATGGTTTTTGTTTAAATAACAACATTTTATATTGTGCAAGCCATAATGCTTGCTTATATAATACATTATTTACTGTACTTTTACATTTTGCACACAATGGATATTGTTGTTCTAAGCTATCTTTAAACTTTTTCATTTCATATTCGTAATTTCTTTCATTTTTTGGTACATAATCAGATAATTTTGATATTTTTAAACTTTCATTCATGTTACATTGTTTGCAGAGACCATTATTTGCACCTTGATTGGTTGTTGTACCCTGGTTGATTGTACAGTATCTTTTCATTTCATGTGAAGATGTCTTGTATTGTTCTGGTATAGTATATGCATAATCACCATTCTAGAATTTGACATGGAAGAAAATATAGGAATAATATTCCAAAACATATATGGAATTGTAAAAGATATCACATAGATAGCCTGTTTCTTATGTTAAGATATTCCAATAGCTTTAAAAATATTTAATAAATCAATTAATTCAACCTGGCGAAATAATCAAAATACATTATATATAAAATTTCATTGATTTAAAATTTGTAGATATGTATGATCATATGTATGATCTTCAACACCATAAATTTATATATTTTGAATAATATGGTTCACTGAATATTAGTTGAATAAATTGACTTACCTTAGAAAAGCCATTATATTGTTCACAATATGGACACATCCACCAATCTAGTTGTTGCCGCCAAATCTTTATATCTTTGTTGCAAAACCAGCAGTTTACTTTTATGGGCCATCTTAATCTAACATATAAAAAAATATGATATAACCATGACTGTAATTAGAGGGAAACAGAATAAATACTTACTTAAGTTTTTGGAAGACGGTGATGACTGTGACAACTATTAATAAAGTGATGATAAATATTGACATAAAATTGAATAATAAGTCAAATTCCATGTTTTATGTGAAGAACATATAAAAACTGAGAGCAAAGTTCATCTCCCGCCGACCGGTTAGAGTATCTTCACCTTAACCTATGCAGTCACGTGGCGTACTAAATTTTCACGTTCTACCTTATACGTTGTATATTTTGTCCTTGTCATAAAAAACACTTTCCGTCATGCGCGCTAAATTTTTTATAAAATTATAAATTAAGTAAATTGTAGCATAGTAGTATATACATTTTCCGCGTCGCCGCCTATTTTACTCCATAAATTTTTAAGCGTGTATCAAAGTATCAACTATACACCATTACCATTCAATCCTACCAACCTTATGTGGAGAAACATAAAATAAGTATAATTTTGAAGAAGTAAAATACAAGGCATTAAATAATAAATTTAAAGCAATATCCAATTATTTCTCGATTACTTCAGTAATATTACTCTAGAAAATTATTTGTAAGTTTGATAAATAAATAAGAAACTAAATTGACACTACAATAAAATATAAAAAATAATTATTTTACATTAGCTAAAACTAAAAAGAAGGAAAATGTATATATGAAAATTAAAATAATTATAATTTTATGAAATCATAGTCGTAAAGGATAATTTACAATGAGCGAATGTAATCGATTTATTTTATTAAATGTTTAAGAATTTGTTTTAATAAATGATATATAAGGAATTTAATTTATTAATTTAATTTAAAAATCTGTTTAAACAATCTAATTTTTTTTACTAAAGATGGTTTATAAACAATGTACAGGAAAAGTATCAATCGATATGAAACTGATTCTCGATAATCTTACAGCTACAGCAAGTAATCGATTCGTAAGTTGATATTGAGTATCCGTACGTGGTACTACGTGATCCGTACAGTGGGTATCGATGACAAGCAATTCTTGTAATATTACAAAGAAGTGTCAAGTTCTAAACTTTCTTTCTTGCTTATTTTTATAAGTAAATGGCCATATAAGAACAATTATAATTAGTAATTGATTATAAATAGTGAGTGCAACAATGACGCTCACAAATAAGGTAATTGATCGAATCTAAGCAACATGCATAATTTTACAATTATTATAGCTAGTTTTTATCCTTATATTTTAGATGGAAATAGATGAGAAACTTATTAAGGGAGAAGGTTTTAAACCGTATTACATTACTAAAATTGAAGAACTTCAATTAATCGTAGCTGAAAAAAGTCAAAATTTAAGGAGGTTACAAGCACAACGTAACGAGCTCAATGCCAAAGGTATATCAATTATGTTTTCATCTTTTTAACTAACTTTTATTTGTGTTTGATGCATTTTGCGATAAAAATTGGTGTTTTTTTGTAGTACGTATGTTACGTGAAGAATTGCAGCTTCTCCAAGAACAAGGATCATATGTTGGAGAAGTTGTTAAACCAATGGACAAGAAGAAAGTTTTGGTTAAAGTACATCCTGAAGGGAAGTTTGTAGTAGATATAGATAAAAATATTGATATTAATGATGTAACTCCAAATTCAAGAGTTGCGTTACGCAATGAAAGTTATACATTGCATAAAATTTTACCAAACAAAGTTGACCCACTTGTTTCTCTTATGATGGTGGAAAAAGTACCAGACTCTACATATGAGATGGTAGGAGGTTTAGATAAACAAATTAAAGAAATCAAAGAAGTTATTGAATTGCCTGTTAAACATCCTGAATTATTTGATGCTCTTGGGATTGCTCAACCTAAAGGTGTACTCTTGTATGGACCACCAGGTAAATAATAAAGAAGCTAATTTTTAAAATCTATCTTCTTCCTTTTAATTAAACTTAATTATATTGTTGATAAATTTGCAATTTACTTTTAGGTACAGGCAAAACATTATTAGCAAGAGCAGTTGCTCATCATACTGAATGTACTTTTATTCGTGTATCTGGTTCTGAATTGGTACAAAAGTTTATTGGTGAAGGTTCACGAATGGTTCGTGAATTGTTTGTAATGGCAAGAGAACATGCACCATCTATAATATTCATGGATGAAATAGATTCAATTGGAAGTTCTCGTATTGAATCTGGTTCTGGAGGAGATAGTGAAGTAAGTTTTACACATTTGTTTTATCGACCAGTCGTGGTGTCGATGTTGTCACTAAGGAAAACTCGGTGTTGGTGTGTTTTTTGTACGAAGAAAGCGGATTCATGATGCCCATTGGGTATAACCAATGTTAATGAATGAGAATAGATGGAGGAAGCCTCCTACTAACGTGGCTCGTAGTTGACATTGTACATGGCAAAAGCCCGCTTTTACTGTTAGGTAAATAGCCGCTTTCTCCGTAATTTGTAAGAGCGCACAAAAAATCTAAGGATTGTTCTAAGGACCATCCATAAACCAAAAACACTTACAAGATTAGAAATTCCTTCAAGTTAATAAGATTACGATTGAAACGAATAAGTTAAAAAGCTTAAGTTGGTGGGTCCTTAGATTTATTGAGGATCTGAATAACGGTACGTGGGCCTTTGACGGCCAGACAACGAGGGATGGCGTACAGATTATCTCACGCAACGTAATAGCATTAGATCTGAAAATTTTAGCTTAATAATGAATGTTTTTTATCAACTTCTGATACTTAGGTTCAACGAACCATGCTTGAATTGCTCAATCAATTAGATGGTTTTGAAGCAACAAAAAATATAAAAGTCATTATGGCTACAAATAGAATTGATATATTGGATCCAGCGTTATTAAGACCGGGACGTATAGATCGTAAAATTGAATTTCCACCTCCAAATGAAGAAGCGCGACTTGATATTTTAAAAATTCATTCGAGAAAAATGAATTTAACACGTGGTATAAATTTAAGGAAAATTGCCGAACTCATGCCTGGTGCGTCAGGTGCAGAAGTGAAGGTAATTAATATAACGTTTTGCAGTATGCTAAGATATATTTTTATTGTTAAAATTATCTATTTATTTATTTGTTTTCAGGGTGTATGCACAGAAGCTGGTATGTATGCTCTCAGAGAACGTCGTGTTCATGTTACTCAAGAAGATTTTGAAATGGCTGTAGCAAAAGTTATGCAGAAAGATTCAGAAAAAAATATGTCCATCAAGAAATTATGGAAGTAATTAGTTTTATTCTGCAATTCTTTCTTTCTATACCATTTCGCACTTTTTGTAAAACCATCTGTAAATTCTATATAACTTTGATTAAAATGTATACAAAACAAAGATTATAGTTGTAAGAAAAAATTCATTAAATTCATTATTATATAGATTAGTGGTGTTTATACTAATATACAGGTGATTCCCTTTCTCAATTTTAAACAACTTGGTGTTTTTCTTGAAAATATACTATTTTCTATAGTCTATCTAACGAGGTGGGCAATAAACAAACGTATTACAATCTTCGTTTACGTTTATTGTGTGACAACGACTATACCTAAATCGCGTCATTTCCGTTCTCATCTTGTTGAACAGACTATAGAGATTTATTTCTTTTTGTGTATCCCTACTCCTAAATTTTTCGTTTGTGGTGGCATGTAGCGCTGTAGAACGACGTGTTGCATTACATGTCCATTTCAATCCGTTTGTACGTAAATAAGTTACGAGCTTTCAATTAAAATAATTTTCCTATAAAAAGTACAGTTTATTGCAATTCAAAATGGGTGGTAAAAGAAGAAAAATTGGAAAGCAGAGGAAGGATAAATTTTACCAATTAGCAAAAGAAACTGGTAAGAATTTAAAAATATTCTTTTATAAATGAAATAAAGGTTTAAAAAATTAAACTGTTTCCTTATCCAATAAATGATTTAATGTGAAATATTTAATGTTGCATGTGATTTACTTTTAAAGTTTTATTTCATTATATATTATTTACAAGTAGCTCTTTTAATAGGTTATGTTTTATAGGTTATAGGTCACGTGCTGCTTTTAAATTAATTCAGATGAATCGAAAATTTGAGTTTTTGCAAAAATCCCGAGTATGCATAGATTTGTGTGCAGCTCCTGGAGGGTGGATGCAAATCGCTCGACAAAATATGCCAGTATCTTCTGTAATAATAGGTGTAGACTTGTTTCCCATAAAGCCCATTCCAGGATGTATTAGTTTAGTTGAAGATATAACAACAGACAAATGCCGTGTATCAATATCACGTGAATTGAAAACTTGGAAAGCTGACGTTGTACTTCATGATGGAGCACCAAATGTTGGTAAAAACTGGCTCCATGATGCATATCAACAAATTGTCTTAACTCTAGCTGCTCTTAAAATGGCAACATATTTCTTACGACCTGGTGGTTGGTTTATAACTAAAGTTTTTCGTTCAAAAGATTATAATGCACTAGTTTGGGTGTTAAAGCAATTATTCAGGAAGGTATATATAACATTTTTATCATAGAAATATAATTTTCAATATATTAATATTGAATTTCTGTGTTTTAATTAAGGTACATGCAACTAAACCACAAGCATCACGTGCAGAATCTGCTGAAATTTTTGTTGTTTGTCAGTATTATATTGCGCCAGATAAATTAGATCCTAAATTTTTAGATCCAAAATATGTTTTCTCAGAATTAGAAATTGAGCCCACAAATAAATTAAATGTATATAATCCTGCGAAAAAGAAAGATAAAGTGGAGGGTTACCCAGAAAATGATTATACTTTATATCATAAGCTATCTGTTAAAGATTTTATAGCACATGAAAATGCTGTGGAAGCATTGCAGAATGCTTCTGAAATTGTTTTTGATGATGAAACAATAGCAAATCATGAGAAGACCACCAAAGAAATTAAGGAATGTTGTAAGGATATTAAAGTATTAGGAAAAAAGGATTTACGAAGTTTAATTAATTGGTGGAAGGCAGTAAAGGAATCTTTAAAAGAAAAAGAACCAGATGAAAATGTACAAAATTTGCCTGATGAGGCAACAAAAGCACCACCTATGAGTCAAGAAGAACTGGAAGATTTGGAAGATGAACAAATTAGAAAACAAATAGAAGAACTTAGAGAAGAAGAAGCTAGAGAGCTTAAACGGAAAAAGAAGAAAGCTAACAAAGAAAGGCAAAAATTAAATGAACGATTGAAACTAAAAATGATTCATAAAGGAAATGAAGGTCCTGTATTAGAAGGAGATGATATGTTTAGTTTAAAAGACATTAAAACACATCAACAGTTAGCAAATATAATGGATCAAGATCCTGATCTAGTAGCACAAAGTGATGTAGATTCAGATGCAGAACAAAGAAAACCAAAAAAGGTTAGATATAATAAGGATGAAGGACATTTAGATAGCTCAAATTTATACTATAAAACAGAAGATAGTGAACCAGAGGATTCAAGCGATGCTTCAGATGATGATTCAGACAGCAATAAGTCAGGCTTAGGTATTTATTGTTGTATTTATTGTTATAATTTCTTTTTATATTTATAAAAGCTTGTAATATTTTTACACAAATGAATTTTAGGTTTAAATGAATCTGACGACGACGATACAAAGAAAGTTTCTAAAAAGAGAAAAAATATTGATGAAGATCCAGAGAATCCTTTATTAACTGATTTAGATCATAGAGACAAGAAAACTAAAAGAATTCACAAAGCAGAATTATGGTTTGAGAAGGATATATTTAAAAACTTAGAAGTTGAAAAGGATGAAGATTTTGAATTGGATAAAATGGTCGAGGAATATAAAAAGAAAGGGGGTCGTATAATAGGACAAGACAGTTCCATAGATAGTGATAAAGAAAGTAAAGTAAAAAAATCTAAGAATATACAAAAAAAGAAACAAGGAGATGGCGAGAACAATAACGACTATAATAGTGATGATACAGACTCTGATTATGATGTTGACAAAATGGTTTCAACTACAAAATCTAAAAAAGATAAAATTAGCGGCAAAGATAATCCTCAGGCGACTAGTAAGTATATTACATGAATATAGAAGAATAGCTTTATGTAGTAAATATAGAACATAATGTAATTATATGTATAATATATAGATGCAAAATCAAAGAAAAGGAAACGTTTATCAGAAGAAGATTTAGCATTAGGATCACTATTAATTCAAAGTAAAAAAACTCGAAGGGATTTAGTAGATTCAGCCTGGAATAGATATGCATTTAACGATGAAAAATTACCAGATTGGTTTGTACAAGATGAAGAAAAACACATGAAGAATGTGATGCCGGTACCTAAGGAACTTGTTGATGAATATAAAAAACGTGTTGAGGACTTAAATGTTAGACCAATCAAAAAAGTAATAGAAGCAAAGTCAAGAAAGAAGCGAAGAGCGTTACGTAAATTAGAAAAAGCAAAGAAAAAAGTGGAAACAATAATGGATAACACTGACATTAGCGATAGAGAGAAAGCGAAACAAGTTCAAGCGTAAGTGCAAGTTTTTGATGATAATACTAATTCAGTTTGTATTTCTGTATTATATATGGTTATGATTCTTTTTGTAGATTATATAAGAAAGCCCATAAAGAGCCGAAGAAGAATGTTACTTACGTAGTGATGAAAAAACATATGGCACAGAAGAAAGCGGCAAGACCACCAGGTGTTAAAGGACGTTATAAATTAGTTGATCCGAGAATGAAGAAAGATTTACGTGCGGCGAAAGCAAAAGAAAAAACTAAGGGACGCGGAAAGAAGAATAGTGGTGGTAAACCACTTCGAGGGAAGTTTAAAGCTCAGAAGAGAAAAAAGACAAAATAATTTATTTTATGTAGAATACAAAATGATTGTATAAATTTGTAATCTCTACTTCTTTATAATCCTAAACTTTTAACAACAGTATGACAAAACACCGAAAAACAGATATTACTTTGCAATATTTTTGTAACAGTGTAAATAATGCATTTTGTACATAAATACATATTGTGTATATAGTTTACACAACCATTTTTGTACATATATTGTATATTTATATTTATTGACACATCTGCAAAGTTAAGTAAATAATTAAGGTTCGTAAATTGCGAAAAAATTTTATAAATAAATTTATCGATATTTAGGAAATACATTAAGAATTCTTTCCAAAAGAATAAAAGAAAAAGAAGATAATATAAATGCAGACGTTTTTTCTGAGATGAAGGTAAAATGATGCTTGATATGATTCATAAAGTGTTGCAGCGCGAGGCTAAATGATATAGATAAATTTCACTACTCACCTGTCCAGCTGCGTAAAGCCTCCCACTATGATCAACATGGTATTACATTTCCCCTTCTCTATACTTCCACTGCTAACGGCACCCTTCCTGGGTGTATTCCGTGCATCGAACATTCTGATGCAATCGTGGCTGCGTAGCGTCGGGACGCTGCGGTCGATGTCAAGGACAAGGCCGATGGCATTTAGAAAGATCGTTTTACGTTGACGTTGTTGCAATGAAAGTGGCGTCGATGAGACTTTTTTTGGCTCGCTGCCAAAAATCGCATCATCGCCTTCCGGCTTCATCATTGGTGTTAGTTTCTAGAAATATACATACATGTACACATGCAGTATGATTTACTACTACGATTGTTCTCTATTTTTTCTCTATTTTCTATGTTGTTGATATTGTTAGAAAGTGTTTTTATTATTTAAGAATTTGTGTTAATTGCCAGAAAATTGAGGAAATATTAACGATGATGTAACTACGCAGAGGCGACCCGTTGCAACGGTCGATGTCAAGGCCGAGCTTAGTAACACATAAATTTCATAATACGATGAAATGCAGTATCTTTGGTACATAGCGAATACATTGGAAGTAAATAGATTGTAATTACATGTTTCTAGGTTTCTGTAAAAGGTTTTCCATATATGATCTTATTACACCTGTTGAAAGATATAATCTTTAAAGTATTTCAAAATATTATTGGTAACAAAATCCGATTTTCATTTCTACGAATATTTTAAGAGATAGAAAAACCATTAAATATTATGTACTTATAAAGGTTAATCGTTTATATTAAAACGTTTATCATGGGAATGTATTTTCTTTTTCGAAGAAATTGTGATATGGGGTTTTTATTAAAACACGTTTATGATCTACGATATTAGAGCAGAGGTACGTTTAATATGAATTGCAATTGTGATAGCTTATATTCGTTACTTCCTCGAAGACAATTTTAGAAAATCGTAATCAATTTAATTTTAAAGGACGCACCGATATATCTCGGGCGTGGTAATATCCACTTGTTCTAATTTGCCTTGCGCGAGCCAAGTTTGCATTCGGCGCCAAACACTTGTAGGCACTGTAACGATGTTCGTAAGTCTTAAAGATGTACTGGCGCCAACGTTGATGACTTTTAGAAGAAGAGCTGTTTCTAACTTTCGATTTTTAAGTTATCAGTAAGTATGTCTTTATCGTGGAATATATATATACGTTTTACTTCGTATATTATCAAATGTATATTATCAAAAGTCTTATTCCAATTGCTAAATTGTTGTAACTCTTCGTTGCATCTCCATGTTAATAGAGGTTAAGTAAAAATTCATTTATGTATAAGAAGAATTGTTCACGTACATATATTATGAAACAATATTCTAATTACGGTTAGGTTATCGACTTTTTTAATTGAATCATCTGATAACATTGAATGTATAAGTTGAACTTAGTAAATTTCGAAACCTTGAACTAAACCGATGGCTTTCAATTCGAGTTAAAATTATGACTAGAAATTGTACCAGAAATACCTACAATTGAAAAATAGGCTATAGTGTAACGAATGAGAAACATTTGGTGAAACGTGTTTTTCAACAACACTATCGGCGAATAATGTATCATGATAATTATGACAAGGAACGTGTTCGATTTTTAGAAATATCAAGTGTTGATAAGATATTGTTTTTGGTACTGGTATTTATTCTTTTTTTAGTAGTATAAACAATGACCAATTGACGTATGTTACTCGATCAGGTCAAGTTTCCTGGCTTAGGCTCTTTTATGAAAGATTGTCGGTGTGTATGTGTATCTTTACGCGGTTGGCGCTTACGTCAAGGGCGACCTCGACTTTCCACCGTCTCTAATCTGTATGAGGATCGTTTGCGAGACAAGCATTTCATTTTCACTGTGTGTAACATTAGATATAAGCCTTAAGACTTTGTAATCTCTTTATGAACACATCGAACACTTCATTTTCTCTTTCATCGACTATATTGTCAATTCACACAAGAAGTGAATTTACTAAATGCATCAGATAAGAATCTCGTTCAGTTTATTGCTCTGTTCTTATTTATTTTGGCATTTAATTAGAGAAGCTTGATTAATGATTAAGTTTTATTTGTTTACCTATTCTAATTTTGAAAATAAAGTAAATATTCTGCAGATTATGCCCACATTAAAGCTGATAGATCGTTATGATTATTTTGGTTAATATAAAAGTTTTTACTTTTTACTACCATCGTCTCAAGTCTTAAAACCTAAAATTGCCTAATATTTCAATGCAAAGATTATCTAGCTAAGTATAAAGAAATATTAAAAATCAACCTACGCTGTTGCTGCCTTAGCTATTTATAGTATAAATCTGTTACTATAAAATACAATCAGATCACTTGATTGTGGTTTCAAGTGGCAGGAATTTAAAACTTCCTATATTGCAGTAATATCGTCCACATATTCGTCCTTTTGGAAAGGTAAATGATATATTGGAATTCCTGTTGCAACTTTTCTTGTTATTTCCACATGTAACTTTGGACCATAAAACCAAAAATCGAATGGGTAAAACGCTGAACGAAAATGAAAATGGGGTGATTGATAGTAAAAGTAAAAATTGCGAGCATATGTACATGAACCGGAACGAATTGGGCAGACATGCATAGTGAGACTGAGATATAGGGGAAAAAAAAGAAAAGTTACGATGGTAAGGGTAGATGCAGTGAGACAAGAGCTGACGCGTGGTACATAATTGAGAATCGTTAACGCGTCCTCGAGGGAGATCGAGCGGCTGGATTTTGCTAGGTCCTCTCTTACTCTCCGCCGCCGTTACCATCAGCTTGCCTGCCTCTTCTCGTCCCGACTTCCTAGCCACGGTGTTGGTGACCTTCAACCGATCAAGAGTGGATGGACCTCGTTGGCCAGCGGGCCGAGGTATAAGGTCAAGGTTACTGTCGTCGGTGTGCACGGGATATGCGACCTCCGGGATATGCATCGAGCGAGATGCGCGCGCAATCAGCGCATGCGCGCTGCCAGCCGGCTTGTCGTGCGTCGCAGCGTGTCGCGCAAGTCATTGCCAAGGTCTTTGCTGGTCACGGGCAAACCGTTATAAGTAGCGATGGACACGAACCGAAATACAATTTTTAGACTATATAATTAATATATATATTATTAAATACTTTTAGAATATTCGTTTGAATTCGATGATTGGACAAATTATGAATCTGTATTGTACATGTATGTATATTGTATGATTTTGGGATTTTTTACGAATGACGCTATTAAGTTGTTATATAGGTTATGAATGAATTTGTTAATTAAAATATTCGGATATCGATTGATTATTACTAATGCATTTACATATAGTATGATAGCGTAATAAGATATATATATTTCTAACGACAAATCGAATTCGTAATAAAACAAATATATAAAAAATTAATATTAAGTTTGCGCACGCTGAGTAAAGTTATTTTAAAATTTGTATTGTATTTGCTTTAATTAACTTTACAGAACTTGAATTTGGTACAAGATCACGAGGATTTCGATCCCATCGCTAGTTGTATGTAGCCGGTTGAGACTGATGCAAAGCCGCCGATGATTTTTCTAGGGTAAGCTGTACTATTAACGCCTATTACGCCTAGAATATTTTTTACATTGTGACATGAGATGAAAGTTCTAATTAGAATGGCTAAGAGTTATTGATTACTGATTAACGCAAAAAATGTAGCAGCTCATTAGGACACAGACATAAATGAATAATGAATAAATTAATGTTTTATTGTATTCATCTTTTTTTATATTTAATTAAATAGTACTCTTTGTGGCGATCCCAGAATATGAAAAGCTAAATATTGTATCAACTTTTTGTCATAGAAAGGAACATAAGGAAAAGGATCTAAATGTTTGTGGTAGGTTTCTACCTATAATGTAGGGTGACAAAGTACATATCAAGCTTTTACGAGTTTTCTCGTGAAGTGGGAACTACTTCCACCTCTGGGTAATATTAGTCTTGAGCATGCTACCATCTGTTTTCTGATGTAACCTACTTATATCTACGTTATAGAATACATTCTGCAATGTATATGGTGCTCGAATGTGAACTTGCGTAAATCTCTTATGGATAAGAAACAGAGTATTGCTCTAGTTCTTTTATCTTATAGAAAATATATTGGAATATATTTTTCGAAAGAAGCATATTTAATATATATTTTCTAAATGCATTATTTGCAGGATATTTCAGTAGAATAAAATTCCCAAATTGAAATTATAAAAATCAGGAGATCAAAAAATTTATAAGGAAATGCGTTGCTTTGCAAAATTTAGTAGTTTGAATTGCCTATTTTTTTTAAATTGTAGGAAAAAGCAATCATGAAAGAAATAAACGCGCGCGTCGCGACGCCTGCGTCACTACACCCGGCGTACATCCATGGCCAAGGTTCTCCCCGGTCACGGGCAACCCGTTATACGTAGCTGGGAGCCAACACTTGCCCGAGGTCGTCCATGACTGTCTTATTCGCCCCAAGGCTTGGGAAAAGTTGATCTCAAGAAGATCCACCTAATACGCTATGAAAATATACAACGTAGAGATGAACGTTATTTTCATGCATACAAATGATCTTACCTTGAATTAAAACATTCAAAAGAAGAACTTTGTACGTTAAAGGTAAACAAGAGTTCAATTATGATTGAACGAATATAATATTTAATTTGCTTATAGGTTATGTAAATCATCTAAATTTGGTTGAATATGAAAAATAGTTTTGTAAATGTTTAGCCAGAACGAATAATTTAGAATGTAGCGCTCTTATATCGAATCATTTTAGCCGCTTAAGTAGTTCTTTGTACCGAATCACTAGGTTCCAACTCGATTAGTGTTGATTAGCGTTATTAATGGGATCTTACACGTTGTGCTCGTTGAAAGTTGAGTCGAGGACGGATTATTGTTTAAGGATGAAAGATTCCCTAATAAAATGTGGCTTTATTTGACCCATTATCTTCAATAGACAATTAATTTGTCTTATACATTAACAAGAATAAGCGAATTTTTATGTTCAAGAGTACAAGTTGCGTATGAACAACTCTAATTAGTGAAATAAATTCTGCATCTAACTTCAGAACAAGAAATGCTACATAAACTTCTTCAGTACTAAAAGAAGTTTACATTCTTGACACAATTTCAGTGATATTTCTACTCTATTACCAGCCAATTAGATCATGATCAATTTTTAATTTAACTTTGAGTAACTTCAAACGTGTTCTTATTAAATGATAAATATTCTTCCACATATGTTAGTAAAATCAGAAATCTATCAATATTTTCTTTGTGTTTAGAGTTAAAGATGAAATTCATATATATATATTGCAGGATACAAAATATTAAAGCAAACGAATATCTAGTCGTACCAGGAAGTTCTCTTTTGAAGATTCAGTTTTACGAGCTATAAGAAGCAAGTCGAGAGAAGGCCTAGTGGAGCGAACTAAAAGTAAATTCTCTTTCATGTCCTTAGATTTCTGGTTATTTTCTTCTCTTCTTGGAATGTATTACCGGTACCCATCCTTCTCTCGTGATGGAACAGGGTTTGGGAGTTGATGTTGGCTCGTCCGGGGGCGGCAAGTTCAAGGTTACCACGTCCAGGTCACGTCCGGGCATGCTAACCCAAATACGATTACGGTCTGAGTACAGTGGAGAGTCGAGACAACAAACTCGAGATCCAGTTGGAGTTTGCTAGGCCAATGGAACAAGGATCTAGTCCAATTCCCCTTTCAGGATTACACTCCTGAGCGGGTCTGCGGCTTCCTCGTTCTTCCGGGATGTTTGAAAGATATCGTGTATCGTGTCGCTGTCGATGCTATTAGTTCTGCGAAAACCTTTAATCGCGTGGGGAAAACTGGACTGTTTTCGTAATCCGACGAAACGTTTGTACGTTGTGACCCGACCTTCTTAACTTCGACGTTGCTTCTTTTTATTTTCAGATATCTTATTAAAAGATAGCTCCTCTCTTCTTTTTTCTTCATTTCGTCCATTTTTTTTAAAGGCCTGTTTGTTTTTCGCTCACGTTGTTTTTCACAAGTAATCCGATGTTCTTGGACGCCTGTGTCAATTTATCGCGCGCATTTCAGATATCTTCCCGATTACGAAATTAACAGCGAAATTACGAGCCGATTAAAATTCTGGCACCGCTTTTTAAACGCGCTCTCGCGGTTGATTACGATTCATGCAGTTGCATCATACCTGTGCATCATAGCTGTAGACTGTTTCATGTCGATTACCTTGAACAAATAGAGTCCCTGTATATTATGGATACAATTTCAGTCTTTTAGCTTGCTAAATTAATAAATTAATAAATTAATAAAATCATCTATTGTGATACGTTGTTATTATTAATCATCACGATCGATGAGAAGTATTGAACGTATATTCATTAGCTGTTTAGATTCGAGTTAAATTTTACTTATAAACAAATAGAATCTTTTATTGTGTAAATCCGAATTTCTTGTGACATTCGATCTTCTGATTTTTGTAGTTGGTATTTGGACCGTTTTATCAATTTCTATCTTTTTTATGACTATATGCCGTAATATAAAATTTGTATATTTTGCACCTATCCATCTGTGATGTATACAAAAGGATTGCAATGCGCCGCAAGTTATCCACGTTGTTACTGCGCTTAGTCACGAGGATTATCGCCTCGTAATAATGTCACTAGGACGTCTCATTATGAAACACCCACCAAACACGCGATTTTCTGGAAAGAAGCGAACCAAATGAGAAAATATTCTTGTTTATAACTTCCTCGAATTTTATCATCTAACACGTGCTTCGTTATAGATGTTCATATAGTGCGACATTGTTGCTGATGTCACCATTAACACGTAATAACAATTAACGATTCTATGGAATCATCTGAACGTCGAATTAAAATTACAATTACAAAATTTTTGTTATTTCCCGTAGCTACATAGGAAATGTTGTAACATTCATAACTTCGTAGTCCTATTATGATAATACAATCTTATGTCATTGATAATGGCTCCCTTATTGCTAATGGGAGTCAATGAAATTTCATTTCTTTCATGAATTTGCCTATCGACTCGTTTTTTCTCGATTTTTATCAAAGTGATTTCAAGGAGTTTTCTATCTAACAAAATCGACATGTTTCATTTTCAACGGATTACGATTCCACAAGTGAATGGAAGCTCCGCGAGTGGCTTTCCATTAAAATAGCCACAGTGGTTGATCAATCATGGTTGGTTTCACAGGAGACAAAGTTTGTTCGCAGATTTCCCTACCGACAATCGTACCGCTTGTCTATCATCCGATTCACGTTTCTCCTCGGAGTTGGAAAATACATTCGCTCTCTTTTCCTATTTTCCGCGTGGGACGTGCATTCAAGCGCGTCAACCTTGAACTTCATTCGCCTCTTCGTTTCTCTCTCTCTCTCTCCCTCTCTTTCCTCTTTAACTACCCTGTCCTGTTCTTTTTCGCTATATCTCTCTTTCTCTCTCTCCTTCTCTCTGGTTTTCTATAAACAACTTTTCTATTTTTCTCCACTCTCTTATCTCTCTATCAACGTGCGCCGTTTTCCTCTCTCCTACTCTCTTTCGTTTGATTCACTGACGTCACGGCTATCGACCCGAAATCCCAAGACTGGGTCTGTGTGTTTATACTTGCATACACGTGGATTATTCGCACGTGTACGTTTCTTTTGATACGCTCTACCATTTAATGCATCTCGTCGCATACGAACTCATGATTCGCGTGAATCACACGCACATTTTCGTTATGTTGCTGGGGAGTACATTCGCGATGCCATGGCACGATATCGAACCGGTTTGTCATTAACAGGGTTCACATGGAATCTACAATTTCATTTCGTAAGAATAAATTATTCTGTCGCTCAATTGGAATACGTAGAACGATGGATGATGGCTGTTTACGACTATGTCGTTGATAGTAATTGTCATGATACTGAAGAATTACGCTTTGACATTGTTTCAAAAGTCTTACGAAATTAGATACTATAAGAAAATTTGGTTCTCTGTGTTACGAAGTATAACTTCTATCAACATAGATTTTAGAAATCCAAAGAAGTTAAATTCTGTAATAAAAGTTTTTCCACTTTTGTTTTACAAGAAAGAGGAGATTAAATCCTATTACATTATCAATAACATACATCAATTACAATGATATAATATCAATCAATACATATGTTGTAATACTAATATACTAATAAGAATCAGTAATGGCCTCGAGAATATGCATCAATGGAGAGTGGTAAAACAATGTTTCAAAAGTTGAAGTAATTTCCGAGATTGCAAGCTAAAACTTCCTTCTTTGCCTACAAAATTCTCGAGCAATCTGAACGATTGAACGCCGCGATACAATCTCTCAAATTACATCGGCTATAGTTTCACTCTTTATTACCTTCTTCTTGCATACATGTACTTATTCATATTATGGCATAATCTTTCAACAAAATTTACAGCAAAATCTTCTGGAAAAGTTCTTTATCTCTAGACTATTTTGTTTCTAAGATACATACGAGATAATAAAGATTTTTCTAATCTCGTAACAAGACTATCGTTATTAGTACAAACAACGATATCTATGAATATGAATCACGTATTCGATTTTAATATATCGTTCCTAAACAAATAATTAAAATTTATTAATGTACGATAATATAAGATGACGATAAATATTTCTTTTAGCCGTCAGCTTCTCGTTAATTTATATATTTTTATCAATATTTATGTGTTTTCGTTATAAAATGTCTAAAGTGTATGATTTTCTCTGATATATTTAACTATGTTTAATTACAGGTGATTCATCGAGGTAGCCGAAATTTGGAGCAGTTTCTACATTGCGTTATGATTAATTTTTGTTGACGCGCGTACGTGCTCCAACTAGACGTCACGTCCTCGTGACCTGTATGCAGCTGTGTGCACATAGTGTACGTCAGTGTAAGCTCATGTACGTCGTATCGAGACACGTCAAGGCCAGAACCGTAGACGCGAGGATTCACGACGGAAAATCACGATCACGACGATGGAAAAAATGGAGCTTCCTGCAAAATTCAGGTAAGTATAATAATTGCTCTTCGCGATCATCATTAACATTCGTGTTTGACTTAACATTTCATTAATGTACGTACTATGTAGTAGTATGAGTGTATATTTATTATGTATTGTATTTTACGATGTACGAATTAATCAAAAGATCATATGAACAATTAATTTTATAAATCGTTGGGCTCGTTTAGAAACTAACGTCTGCCTCTTAAACGGACTGCGCAACTGCAGATTTCATGCTTATGGTTATTACCAATTATAAATGTATCGATTACGAATCTGACGAATCTCAACATTAAATAACAGCGTGATTAAAACGAATCAGGGTATCGAGGATAGTGGAGTAATATTCTAGTAACGCAGCGATCACATTAAACCCATTGGTTTTTCCTCTTTTCGTGGATTTTGTTCTGATTACTACTGGAAATTCCGTTTTCGACATTAATATAAAATGTACTTTGAGTGTACAAGCTTGTGTGGTCGGATAACAAAGGAAAGATAACGAATAATAGCGGTCACCCGTTTTAGACGGCGATCGTATGAATATGAAAAGTTCAATTGTACACTAAGAATGATCTCGTTGGTAAGAGGTAGACCGGCGTCAACTGAAAAGCCTATCTTTAATGATCAGCCTGCGGTAATGGCCCATTGTAAAGTGTAAGTCAGGTGATACAGCGATGTGTGTGTTAAGTGTCCTTGACATCCGCGTCCTTGTCAAGAATTTTTCCGCATTCGATTGTTGTTCCAAGCATGCTCCGCGAACTGCAAATAGAGAGGAGGGAGAAACAGGATAGAGAGAAGGAATCCGGAAAGTAGAAGAAGACGGAAAGATCGGTTGTTGAATGGTGGACGGCACTCGACCTTCGTTGGGAACTACCTACATGGTAAAAGATAAAGCAGACAACCAGGCAACACGTAGAGAAGCTATACAGCGCGTCACTAAAGTATTTGAACACCTATAGAAATGTTTTCTGAATATATCAGGTAGTTTGAATATGAGAAAGTTACATGCAACGTACATAACACGTTCATTAAAATTTTCTATGATATGTATCTAAAAACGATCATGAACCATTGTATATCGTTTATTATTATTAACTCGTGATGGCAAGGAAATCATTTGTTTTTGAATTTCCTAGATACTACTTGTCGATCGATTTTCAGGATTGTTTAAATTGAGAAGCACGCGACAGAACCGGCGCTTATAAAATTTTGTCACTTTATACATCGCATGATGCCTATAAAGAGGCAAATTGCGAAACAGAATACAAAAAATAGATCGTCGAGGAGTACATTAGTAGTTGAAGTCTTATAAAAATAGAATTCGTTTCTTCATTTGTAATTATAATATGGTGACCGCGTCTTCGTTGAACTTATGTACTTACGTCTCTTTAATAGACGTGACTTCGTTGAGATTTAAGTAACATGATACGTTTGTAAAATCTACTACGATTTAGTTAGGATCGTTAAACAGGCTATTACTAGGAGATCATTTGTAATATTGTTTGGTTATTAACGCCTTGTTGAAGTATACAGCTTTTCAAAACATCGTAAAGCACCGGGGAACCTTCTGTCAAATATTTACAACCTCAACTTTTCTCTCATAATCGACTACACCTGAAACTGGGGAAACATCGCGTCCTGTTCTTTTGACTGTTCGAAATTTACGGCTCCTTGTGGACCGTTGCGCCTTACGCTTTGAATACTCTTAAATATTCGGCCCTGAAATATCGTAATGGATTTTCAGGGGTCGAAGAGTAAGTTGGCATGATTTGCGACCTCTGTTGCTCCGTATTCTTTTCGTCTGTTTTCGCAAAGAAACACATCGTCGCAAAAATACACATTTTTTCTTTAGACACGCCAAAGGGAAACCTTGAACCGTCTCTTTGTTACATCGAATGTATTACAAAGTTTCGGGATCGTTCGATTCATTCCTTAGACTCTCTAAATCATTTAAAAAAAAAGGTGATCAGATGCTCTTGCACACAATCGAATTAGTATTTAGTGAAGTATTACAAGTTATAGATACTAATGGATTTTGTTGACAAGATAGGATCAACGTGATAAAGTTGCACAAGTAAATTTTACAGATTTCAAGCCACTCGTACTATAATTATAAACTTCTAACTAGTTACTAATTTATTAGTATTATTAGTGATATTAGTGATCAGCGATATCACTCGTAACAGATACCAGAGATACCACTCAGCACGTAATATTAGTTGTATTACTACAACTAATGTTAATAAAATCATCAATTTTATTATTGATTGACAAGAGACAAATTACAATCTGTAACTTGTATAATTAATTGGTGTATCCTATTATCCAGGAGAGTTTAGATTACGACATTTTGAAAACATTCGAACCTATACAAGCAAATACAAAAATAGCCCTATATCTCTTTGAAATCATATCGTCGTCATTTCTACAGTCTAATATCAGTTCAGATATATTCTCCAACATCCTTCAGAACGGCGATTCTTTTATTCTGCCCTTTGAAATCGTATACGAGATTTACGGACACAGGATCGTCGTAAAAAGCATTGGAGGCCTTCGAATTTACCTGTGAATAAAAACCATGGCCCTAAAGTGCTCTTAAACCGTCTGGGAGCTCTAATGTGTACTGTTATACGACTGGCGCGATCTTTCTGTCGAACAATGCCTCGTAAAATACTCGATGGCCTCAGGCTTGTGTCGTACGATCGCTTTACTGCCGTCACTTCGCAACGATGACAATGACAAAGTGACTGATGAGACACACGCGATCGTTCGCTGGTAACGAAGGATTTTGGACCACGTTCAATGGTACGCGAATCCTGGAGTTCACGATGGCGCCTGTTTCACGAACGCGTTTCCCGTTCTGATGTTAAAATACATCGAGACGTATCGACGAAGGTCAACCTGTTATTTAGTTGTTATTAATAACCGTGACTACCACCACGTCACGAGCAAATTTCGTGTCCGTGTTGTGTCAGGACATATACAAGCTTCTGCCTCGGAAATAGTCGGCATTCTGAATGAACAGTCGCCATTCGGTCTAAATACATCAAAAGTATATAAGGCTATTCAAGATGTCTATTATTAAGAGTGATTCCAAGAAATTCGATCGTTGCTTTGAAATCTGACCACTTCTCGTACCATTCGGTATACTCGAAGATTTTATGGAAAGGAAAACAGGAAATTCGTCAAAGTATCAAAATTAAAGGAATATAATTTACAAAGAATATCCATTAAAAATGTAATGAAGATAATGCGACGTGTTGTTGACGTAATTTTGCTTATGGCAAATTCATCATTCTCGGGCTGTTTAAAATAGGATCGTGATGCGTAGAGTGGGCGAAGAAGCGTGTTGTGCCATTCCAGCTACCAAAGCAGGTTCGATTTCCGTGTGCGCGCCACTGCGGTTATTGTTAGAGCAACGAAGTTACGTGCTCGTTTACTCAAGTGGTTGATATACTGGCTTTAACATGTGAGCACGTGTGTGTAAAACAGAGGCCAAAGTGCACCTATGCCCGCGATTTCAGGCTAAAAACGGAGCCAAGGATATCGGGACGATAAGCAGGGCTAGGGTAATCCAAGCCCAATACCGTGGCTGTTCTTTGTTGACCAAGGACTGTCATCAATTCTAAAATTGTTCTTCCAGTTTGTTCTGCGATTCCGCTCGATCGTCATATAAAGCATTCAACCCTTATTCAACAAGTATATAAGTCAGTTTGAAGTTGTAATACGATGATGGCGACTATGATGGTTTGGGGTACGTTTAGAGGAAAATTCAATAACTTTGATTTTTGATAACTAAAAGTATAGAAGTAATAGATATACACGTGGTCACAGTACTAACGTTTAAATATTTTACGTAAATTTTGAAATACTCAAACGATAAGAATGTAAAGCAGTTTTATACTTTCAATAGGAAATAGAAAAAAAAATGTAGAAATGGGTAAAAGAAATGTATCAGGATTAAATCGTAATTTAGCTAAGATAAAATGTGTCATTTAGAAAAGAGGTGGATTAGAAGTACGAATCGCTTCTTCGTTTTTGCAAGGAACTCTGAAAAACCAAGTAATTGCCTCTAAAGGTCGGCATAAGAAGATTTTCTTATTTCGTTTTCTTCGTTTACTTTCAACCAGCTTTATAACGATTGCTTTACTATTTGTGCATCCTTGGTCGAGGCGAAGGTTAACCAAGGCAATCTCGTTGATTCGTCAAGGATCATCTTTATCTTAGAGAAAGCGAGACTTTCTACAGATGTTTACGAAAGTTATAAGGTACCAAGGGCAACTCCTCGAAACCGAGTTTTCACCGCATGGAACGCTCGATAAAGCTTTGCGGTTTCATACCTAAATCTCGGATCGATGCACGCTGTGAACGATTTACATTCCGACTCATATTCTTAGGGAACTTTTGTACGGTACAAACGATCCAAAATCTTCAGAACCGTTCTCTTGCTTTCGTTCTATCATTTATTTTGTTCTATCGACATAACTGTATCGGCGTGCATTTATAAATGCCACAACTCTTTGTTACATTGTTAGCCCCTAAGAATGTTCCCTTCTTGGTACTACGGTAATTCAAAGTATTGTACAAGTCAAAGTTCGTTCGCATTCTTATAAGATACATTAGATTCAGCTAGAATCAAACATACGATAAACACTTATTATTCACGTTATAGTATCACGCCAGAATAATTTACTTATAATTCTCAATGAGAATTGATTGTAAATAAAAGAAGGTATTCTTATAAGATCTATTGTATAAACACTTATCAGTGAATTCTTTAGATTATAGCTCGAATCATTCGTGAAAGTCATTGCGTGTAAATTCGAAGAGGGATTCTGTGATATTTTTATACTACCACAAGCATCTTATTACATTTATAGAGCGTAACATAGGATCTATATAGGATCTATATACCTTTTTAAGATAATTGTCTTTACATTTAGTTTTATCATTATCAACTTTCTACGATAGGATCAAAATATCTTTGAACGATCAAAAGTCTCAAT